CGGGTGGGGACGATACAGGTGGACACAGAGTCTAACTCTGCACACAGCCCTTGGCTCTCCAATGCCAGGTCATAGGTCACTCTACTGCCACTGTCCTGCAGCGTGAGGCTTAAAGAGCCACTGGACAAGGGCCTGGCTGGCAGCGGCAGAGCCAAGCTTGCTGTCAGCACCAGCACTTGCTCCCCTTGAGCAAACCTTCCTAGGCTCAGGTGGCCCCAAGAAGGACCCAGAGGTCCAGGACAACACGATGAGGCTGGGCCAGCACAGCACAGCTGTCCTGACGAGGCGCCCGACCCCCACCAGCCTCTGCTCACGATGCTACCTCTGCTTTCACCCCCTCCTTTCCTGCCAATAAAACTCCTACCCCGTCATCAGAGCTCAACTTAAATATCCCTTCTGTGGAGATAGTAGGGATGAGTCCCTGGGAAGCAAACAAGGTGGTGCTGGGAGAACGGGGGCCTGCTGGGGCATGAGGGCAGCAGGAACTCTGGAGCGGCGATGGGCCTGCGCAGAGGTGCTGCCTGGAGCCCCGGGGGTTCAGGCTGCCCCTGGGAAAGGGCATGACCCTCCCCTCGGCTGGAAGATGAGCACCAAGGTCCCGCCGTGGGGCCGGCGGTGCCCTGTGCCCACCAAGCAGTCAGCAGAGGGGGCAGCCGCTCCCTCAGCCCCTCCAGGCTAGCCCCCTGGTCCCAGGCCCGGGCCTCAGCCCCCCTCAGGGCGGTAGAGACAGCTGTGCAGGCTGAGCTCCTGTCTCCATGAGAAGCCGCTGCTGCAACATGATGTCGTGAGTCGCTGTCTGGGTAACACAGCGGGAGGCCAAGCAGCCCAGCCCTCGTGGAGTCCCCAGGTGAGGGGCAGCATCCAGCCCACCCAGGCGAGCAAGTATCAGGGCCCCTGAGGACGCTTCTTACCCGCAAAGCGTAAGGGCAAGGGGAGCAGCGGAATCTCGTCCCATCCCGTCACGCCAGGTGCTGCTCCAAACCAGGACCCAGGGCTGGCCGGTGCGGTCAGGCTGACCCACCAGGGCCCTGAGCTGAGAGCCCCCGGATCCACACAGAAGAATCACGTGTAAAGAGCTGGCAACTCTGTCCTTCCAGCCAGGTCACCAGACCAAGCAAGGGTTGGGCTGCCAGGTTTAGCACATAAAAATACACAAAATTTGGACTTTATAGAATGAATGATTTCAGTATAAGTACATCCCATGCGATATTTAGGATATACTTATACTAAAAATTTATTTGTTGTTTCTCTGAAATTCAAGTTTACAGGGTGCCCTGTATTTTAACTGGCAACCTTAGGTAACGGGTGTCAGAAGCCAGGCCAGGCCTTTACGTGACCTCTGGGCAGAAGCCACAGCACTGAGACAGGTAAGGCAGGTTGTGTGCAGTATCTAGGAACCAAGCCCCACTGTGCCTGTGGCACGTAAGTTCAGCTCCACCTGTGGATCCAGGCTCCCGTCACCACCGGAAAGGTTCTCAGTTCTCCTGGTCAATAGCATTACCAACTTCTCCAGCCTCCCAACTGGCAAGCACATACCGCTGATACCGACCCAGCCACAAACTTGTTTCCCATCTGTCAGTTGGGGCCTTTTATGCTGAGGGAAAGGAAAACAAACCTGGAAAATCCAACTAGAATGGTCTTAAGCAGCAAGAGACTGGATGCGAACTCATAACTGGAAAATCTAGCAGCACATGAGCTTCAGGGTAGGTTTGATCCAGGGGTTTGTCACCTGCCACTCCAGGGGCCACTACACCAACAGCCCCGCTGAGATCAAGTCCAGACGTGGCACCAGCATCTTAGGGTGATTCCCGGCCCAGCCTGTGGCTCTTCCCAGGGATGCCCCAGACCCCATGGAGATGGACATACCGACACATGCAGCCCCCCACGCGCAGAATGTGTGATCATGACGGATGGTTGCGGGCGGCACTGGGTGCAGGAACCCCACCCGCACAAGCACCAAGATCCCCCAGGAGGAGGCCCAGCCTGGGGAGAGTGAAGAGCCCCCAGGCCGAAGATTTGCAGGGTCCCTCCCACCCCCACTGAGAACTGTATTTCCCCAGAGAGGGCCCAGGACTGCTGAAATTCATCACCAGTACAGCAGATGTAAGGACAGAAGCAGGGGGGTTCCCAGAGCAGAGGAGGAAGCCCCCAGCCCCCAGCGTGGGAAACGCCGGGCAAGACCTGCTCGTTTCTTGGATCACGGCGCCACCGTGTGGACAAAGTCTGCTCGCCACCCATCAGCTCTTCGCAGACCAAAAAAGCACATTCCTGCCCCTCCACTCAGACAACCACCGTGGACTTTAGAAAATAAAGTACACGCAGGGCGTAAGGTCTCAGAAGCCCATCGGGCAATCCTCTCCTGGGACAACCAGTTTTTGTGCTTCTTCTGTACGTTGTTTGGGTGCACAAAAGTCACACACACACACAACCCTAGACTCCTTCCAAGGCCCCCCACACTCCTGCTCTGCAGGGCTCGGTGATGCTTTTGCCAACAGTCGTGCTGGACAGGATGTCGGCTCACTCGGGCCACCATCGGGGCCCCCATGGCCAAGCTGGCATCTGCAGGCTGGCCGGTGCCAGCGTGGCCGGCACGGACAGCCCCAGGCTTGGGACCCCAGGCCGGGGGCGGGGGGACGAGGGGCAAGGAGTGCAGGGCAGCGGCCGGGACCACAGCGCTGGGCCTGGGCCCCAACTCTGCAAAACTTCCCGCAACTTCTCACCCCCTTGTGCCTCAGTTTCCTCAACTGTCAAATGGTGTGGGGATTTGAGAAAAGTGCCCGGCACACAGCAAGTGCTGGAACATGCCCTCTCACCAACACCGCGGCTGTCATCAGAACGAATGCAGCAACACTTCTGGCGGAGCCCCAGGCTCCCTGGGCCCGGCTGTGGCCAAGACGGGCTGCACGAGGCAGGAAGCTCGGAACCTGGAAGCAGCAGGACGGCTCAGGTGTCCGGTTCGCCCCTGCTCCTCGGGCGGGCGGGGGGGGGGGGGGGGGGAGGACAGCCTGAGAACTGGACAGCTCCAGCCAACCAGCAGGGGTCACAGCGTGGAGGCCGAAAGAAAAAGTCTCCTGGGGGGTTTGTGAAAACAGATTCCTGGGCCCCACTCATAGAGCCTGATCACGGGCAGAGCCTGAGAAGCTGCATTTCCATCAAGGGCCCAGGGAGTGCTGACTGGGCACTGGGCAGGGGACCACATTTCAAGCAGGAAGGGGTGGCAGGAAGGGTGAATGATGAACAGACCCGCCAATGAATGAGTGGGGCTCAGTGCAGAGCCCACGACCCCCAGCAGGCCGAGGATGGGGCAGAAATAGTGCACGTACACACCTACAGTCACACACATGCACAGACACACAGACACATATGAACACACAGACTCGAAAGCAATGTACACTCTCACACACAGATACATACAGGCACAGACACCTGCACAAATGTATGGGTCAGTGGTCTCCAGAAAAACAAAGGCAGTAGGGTGTGTGTATGTATGAAGAGATTTATCACAAGGAATTGGCTCATGGGATTAAGGAGGCTGAGAAGTCCAGACCTAGGACAGTCTGAGTCTGAGTCCGAAGGCTGGAGAAGACCGATGTCCCAGCTGGAAGATAGGCAGGCAGAGAGGATTCTTAGTTCCCGGCCTTAGTTCTATTCAGGCCTTCGACTGAATGGACAAGGCCCACCACGCAGGAGGGCCAGGTGCCTTAGTCAGTTTACTGGCTCCAGCACTGATCTCCTCCAGAAACACCCCTCGTGGACACACATGGGATCACATTTGACCAAATGTCCGGGCCCTCAGTGGCCCAGTGGACACATAAAATCAACATCACAACATACATACAAAACACACACAGACTTATACACATCTGCGTGTAAGCACATACACACCTTTCATTCACACTCAGAAAAACACACTTCCACATGTTCACATTCAGACACATGTAAAGACTGGATGCACACGCATACACATGACACATGTACACAGCGCACACATGCACACTTCCCCGGGGGCCCGTAACGCTGCTCTAACCCCAGTTCCTTCCTCCTCTCTGGGCCTCTGCTCGCCCCAGGCCTGGGCGGTGAGGTGCACCATCACCCACATTCACAGACAACAGGGTCGAGGGCCAGAGACAGTGCAGTGACAGGCAGGTCCCATAACCGCTCTGAGCTCCCCAACCCCCAGAACTTCTTAAAGTGGGAATGAGCCACCGCACTGAGGACATGCAGGAGTGACCGCCAGCTCCCGAGGTACTGCAGGGTCAAGGCCGTGAGCACAGGGGAAGCCCAACTCCTTGCCATGCCTGGTGGAGGGCACAGGCACAGTGGCCGTTTACATTCACGACATCCCCAAATCTTCAGCATAACCTGAGGAACTGAGGCTTGGAGACCCCCACCCAAGGTGATCCAGGTGTTCAGAGGTAGAGCCTCAAGCCTTTTGGCTCCAGAGCTCCCACTCCTAACCGTGGGCCTGGCCTAGAGGTTGGGCAGAGTGCCGGGACCTCTAGCCCAGACACTGTTCCTCTCCTTTGCCAGCTCTGAGCCAAAAAGGTTCAAGAGTCCATCACTCATCAGCGAACGCTGTTCCTCACCCGGTTCCAGGCCTGGCGAAGTTCATCCTCTGAACTGCAGTCTGCACCCTGTTTTCCTGCTACTTCCCAGGGAAAGCCACCTAATTCACGCCAGCAGGAGGACAGTCTCCTGCAGGGGGCCACTCAGACCCCAGAATCTAGGCCTGAGGAGCGTACCCTTTGGAGAAGGAACCCCAAGTGCGTGTGCTTCTGAAAATCCCTGCTCATTTTTCTGCTGCAACGTCTCTTCCATGTGTTTCAAGGGTAGAAAATCGCAGAAGTTTTGCTCACAGCTCTCACCTCTTCCTCCCCTCCCCTGCAAATAATCGCTGTTTGGAAACTTTTACAAAGGAAGCGGTTGAGCTTGTAGCTGCTAGATGTGGAGATGAAGAGCAAGAAACCACCACCCGCACCCCAGGCAGGCGGTTCGCGGGGCGGGGCTCCCCCAGCACCTCGCTGCCGGCGCCCCTGCTCAGCACAGCCCTGCGTGCAGCCATGCGTCCTGCCGGCATACTGCTGGTCGTCTGTGGCCTCGTCCTGGGTGCCACGGGGGACCCTTCGCAAGGTAAGAGGGGACCTCCCCACCGTCCAGGCGCCGTGAGCTTGACCCCCAACCCCGTTCCCAAGGCACGTTCCAGGGGACCTCACAGCAGCTGCCTTTGTGGGGAGCAAGCTTCGGCAGAGGGGGACTGGGGGGGTCTGGGGACCGGGGAAGTGCCTTCTGTCCCCCACCGCTCCAGGGGTCTGCAAGTACCCAAGGGAGGCCCACCACGGCCCCTCCACGGAGACAGCACACAGGGTAGCAGTCAGGCCGTTTCTATTTGATGGTGCACTCTTCCTGCCTCTGCTGCTGCCCTGTGACTTGGCTCGGAGGAACCTAACTAAGTCTTCATCCTTCCAGCCAGGCCAGAGCTGGGGGGAGGGCGAGGGGAGCCGCCACCTGTAGGCCAGGAAATGAGGCACAGAGAGGTTAGGCGACTTGCCCAGTAACACAGCCCATGAGCACCTGCCCCATGCGCACGAGGAAGCTGGTAGACGGGGCTGAAGTGACCAGCGGGAGGTGGAGGATACAGCCCCCAGGTAGCAACTGGTCTTTGCCCTCCTCCCTCTTTGAAGAGGTCTGGAGCCTGGCCACGGGTGACCAGGTCTGGGGTGCCCAGGCAGGTGCCCAGGGGACAGCCTGAGCCTCTCAGTCCCTGGAGGTCACAGCCTCGGAAGTGGGTGACATCTCAGGACCATCTCAGGCACCATGCAGACAGGACATCCTGCCTCTGCCGCCTCCCCCAGCCGCGGTCTTAGCTCACACCATGAAGCCTCACAGGTCCTCTCCTCCGGGAGCTGTCTGTCCTCCTGGGCCCCCTTAGTGCCCAACCGAGGAGGCCACGCCAGGGAAGTGGCTGGACATTCAGACCAGGGAAGTGGCTCCCTCCGAAAGCCTGAGTGAGGGGCCCGCCACCTCCGCTGCACTGGGATGTAACGTTCGTGCCCTCTGCCCCGCTTTCCTAAGCTGCTTCTGCCGGCCTCATTCCCTCCCCTAACAAGCAGAGCAGGATTGTGTGGGGAATCCTGGCCCAGGAGGCGCTGGACGCTGGCCTCCTTCCCTTGGCAGGACTGCCTCCCCTCTGCTGGGGTTTGGTGCTGGACCAAACCCTCTCCAACCCAGTCCCGCACCTGCCCCCTCGGGAGGTGGAAGACGGCCTGCCCTTGACACAGCCCTCTGGCTGGCCTGGCCCTCCCCCATCAGGCCTGCTCTCAGCCCCACAGCCCAGATGGAGGAGGGTCCAGAGTCCAAACCACATGCAGAGGCCTTGGGACCTGGAGCCTCTCTGAGCCTCAGTCTCACTGTCCATGAAATGGGTAAACCACTGCACCCCTCAGGCCCTGGAGACACCTGGCTGCGGTGGCCCACGGAAGGCAATGCCCCGGGCCTGGGGTGGGGGGCAGCTGCCCACCCGCACCCCTGCTCCTGAGCCTCTGCTGGCCGCAGCCCCTACGCCACACAGATCCTTTCTGCTGCCTCCTTCAGGTGACAGGTGACGGCCCCAGCGAGGGCCTCGGGCTCGAGTGAGTGGCTTGGAGGCCCCTGTCTGGGGGTCGAGAAGAGACAGCTTGGCCCCAGACCCGAGTCCGCCCCTCAGCCCCACGGCCTTCCTCTAAGAACAGATCCTAGAGCCTTCCGTGGTGGGAGGACAGGGGCCCCGAGTGTCGCCACCTGGGCACCTGGCTTCTCCCCGCCCCTGGCGCTCAACTACGCTGACCTGACCCCGGCAGCCTCCCTCTCCAAGCCCTTCAGAACCTAGGAAATTGCTACATCGATTTCTTCAGCCACTTTTCCTTCAGTTGAAAATGGAAGCCCTTTTTCAACCTGACTCTCATCTCTCCTGGGAAGCCCTCCCAGTCGGGCTCACAGGGGCCCATCTTCCCATCACAGGCTGCCTGGCAGGGTCTGGGGTCCAGCAGCCACCGTCACCAGTGGCAGGACCCAGAGACCACCCACCACAAGGGCGGCCCATGCCGGTCTGCATCCCAGGGTGGGGGTTGGGGGGGAACTGCTGCATCTCGGCGTGAGGGCCAGTGACCCACCCTCTGCATTTTGAGGTTTCTTTTTTCCAGTGGGGACACCCATTTGCCCTCAGAGCGCCACTGCAGCCATTTCCCATATTTGATCATCATGACACTATGGCATGTCCTTTATCAACAAGATCTTCCTACGGATGGTCTCCTGTATTCCCACCACAACCCTGTGGGGTTGGTGCCATCCTCACCCATTATACAGGCTCAGGAAGGTCAAGCAGTTTCCCCAAGGCTGTACAGCCTTTGAGAGGCAGACTTGGGACTCACTCTGGGCATGTCCCAGTGGATTAAGGCAGGGACTAACCAGCATCTTGTTTGTGCCGGGGGACACCTATGCTCTCAAAACAACGGGGCTACTCATTAGTCAGAGCCCCCAGAGCACAGCCGGGTGGGTGTGGCCCCACGGAATTAAGGGCAACCACCAGCACACTGAGTTCTGGTGTCACGTGAGGGGGCGAGGCTCGGAGTGAACCTCCAGGTGGGCAGTGGACACCAGCACCCCGCTCTCTGGGCACAGCCCTCCTAGTGTGCGCTCCAGGACCCCGCCCGTGGCATGACAAGGGCCCCGTGATGCTGGCAGGGAAGCAGCCACCACGAGGAGACCACCAGGGACACGGTGGGGCAGCCTCCAGTGGGGGCCTCAGTGTTTGGCTCCTGAGCACCCTGGCTCCCTTCTAGGGTCCCCCCACCTCCCAGCCACACACAGGACACTCCTGAAACAGGAAGGGGTGGGGAGCCTCAGCTGCCTGAGCAGCCCCCTCTCCCTTCCACACCAGGGAAGGAGGGGCTGCGCGGCCTGAGGCACTGGACTCTCCAAAGGGCCCAGCACCCCTGGACGCACAGCCAGCGTCCCAGGCTCCAGCGCCTCCTACAGGACATCATCCCACGTCTTCATTTTTCAGAAAAGCAAGTTGAGGGATGTTTACCAAAAACATTTGCTGCTGACTCATTTTACCAGCTGTTCTTTGTCAGGAAGTTACTGTCCTCTCCTGGGACATTTGCTGCATGTTTGGTGGTAATTGGAGGGCAGACTCCATCCTCTTTAACCTGCATAGAAACAGTTAACTGTTGCCGCAACCCAAAGGGCTGCTGACCATGTCCCCCAAGCTCCAGCCCCACCTGCTCAACTGTGGATCTGCCTTGAACCCCTCGATGTTTGTGAAGTGCCCACACACTGGTGGAGGGAAATGAGTGCCCCAACTGGTGAGGGCAAGCGCAGAGCCTGGCCACCGAAATCAGTGGGGCCAGTGTTAGTTCTGAAGAAGGGGGTGTAGGGACAGGACAGGACAGGAGCTGGAGTAGGAATCACTTGTGATTTAGATGGAAAGTTACACTTTTCAGCAAGAAACAGCAGAATGTTTCCTTGACGTTTTGCTTCCCATTCTGATCACATGAGAGGAGAGACCCCTTGACTCCCTTGAATCAGGTTGAATCAGGGGGTGTCGAAGGGGCCTGGGGTGACTTCACAGAAGCAGGTGGCCGGGAGTCCACTGGTGCAGCCTGAGCAGCCCAGGGGCCTGCAGGATCCCCAGCCGTGCTGGCTCCTGGAGCAGGTCCCAGCTGTGCCAGGGCAGGTGGGAAGGATCTGCCAGAGGCAGGTCCCGCACTGGTTCCTGCCCACGCTCTTCAGTTCCAGGGCCAGCTCCACCGCCCAGGTCTGAGACAACAGGCGCTCGCATTTCCGCCCCGGGGAGTCTGCTCTGGCCCCAGGAAAGCTGGGCCTCTGCCGTCCTCCCTCCAAGCCTCGCGCCCCTGCACACTGCACTCGCCCGGTGCTCTTACAACTGTGCATCCGGGGGTGGCTGGAGCCCCCGCTCAGTACCCAGCACAGCGCTGCTGTCACCCTAATCTTCCCAAGTCTCCGGCCCCCCATCTCTTGCCCAATCTCTTGCCGTCTTGAGTCATTTTTTTCAAGACCAGCTGAAGAGCTACTTCTCTCCCAAGAGCAGTAAGGGGCCCTCTTCTCTCCTTCCTGACTCAGCCCGCCCGTCACCAAGGGGTCTGCCCACCTCCCTCTTCCCAGTGCCTTTCTGGGCCAAAGCCTCCATGCCCCGCCTGGCAGGGGATGGGGGAGGGAGTCCGGCTTATTTGGAAACCTCACTTCTCTGTGCCGCCTGGCCCTCCCCCACCCCAGCGTGTGTGATGAAGAGTGTTTGTTCCTCCTCACAACCTCTCCTTCTGGTTGTCCTTTCAGTCCACGTCACCAGGCCACCACCTGCCACCAGCGTGACTCACGATCCCCCCCCCCCGCCCCCGCCCCCAGCCTGCAGCTAAGGGCAGTCAGGTCTGCCTCGTGCTCTGCCCTCTGCTCCCCTGGCCCATCTCCGTGCCTTCTAACTGGTCCCCACCCCCAGCTCCCTCTTTGAGCCCCTTCTGCCAGATCACTGTCCTGCCCCCAACCTGGAGTTGCCCACAGCACCTACTGAGAAATACTTCTTGAGAGAAAAAGAGCACAGCTTTCACACCTAGGTTTAACCCGCCCTGCACTCCTTCGAGGCCTGTTTCCTCCCTGTAGATGGGACCACGGCCAGCCCGGGGGGTACCCCTTGGCGGTGGTGGGAGGGGGTTAGCTGGCTGGGGCCCAGGGCCCCCAGCTGCCTGTCTTCTTCCGGAAGGAGAGCCCCTCTTTGGGCTTATTCTGCACCAACCTTGCCCTGTGGACGTTCTGAAGAATCGCTCTGAAAATAGGTTTGACTTTTCAACTTTTTAAAATTAAAAATGGGGTTTTACTGTTTGTTTAGATAACTCTGCTGATGAAACCTCACTTAACTGAAGCCTATATTTCAGGAAATGTAGTTAAAAATACACCAACTTCAAGTTTCCTACAACCTCTTTGTAACTTTACCAAAATTGCTTAGGAACTGACATCACACGTTTGGCAGACACATCATCAGAGGTTTGGCCTCACCTAATTTCACTTCATTATTATAGTCGTGTTAAGTTCAAGCGAAATTAAATGTATACTTTATTTAAAACAGGTAACAGTGGTTACCTTTGCAACACTGAGAGTGAGCTCTAATGTTTCTGTTGTACTTTGCTGTGTTTTTCAAGTTTCCTACCAAACAAGTAAGCTTATAATCAGAAAAAGCAATATATGTAATTTGTACAAAGAAAAAATAGCCGTGGATATAGACCCACAAACACATGGGCGACTGGACTGTCCACCAGGTGGTCCTTCCCGTCTGCTGTTCAGACTATGCTGACAAGCAGAAATCAAACGGTTTTCAAAACAGAAAAACACACTGGACTTCCTGTCGTCAACAGCAGGCCAGCAGCCCTCAAAGCACCAGAGTCAGAGCCACGGGCTCAGGGGCCCAGCCAGCCGACCAACCCAGCTGCCGCGTCCAGAGACCTCAGCCACGGCCCACCCCAGAGTCTTTGGGGACGTCATGTGAGGGCTGGATTATGGCAAAGGAGACTCTCAGAGACGTTGGGGACAAAGCTTCGTGGGGGAAGAGCGACAACCTCACCTGCTGGGAAGCTCTCATGGGGGTGGAGCAGGCCTCCCAGCTGAGGGGGCCTCACAGAACCATCCAGAGCTCCATCTCGACCCAGGGACCCAGCTGGGGCCCACCTGCCAGGAGGGGTCCCGCTTGGGCGGGCAGTGCCAGCCCCCCTTACAAAGAGGCTGTCATGAGTGCCAGTGGCTCACCCCCAGGGTCATGGGCCCTCTGCAGATTCTACCCAGACCAGACCCACGCCTCCTCTGCCCACTGCCAGAGCCCCCTCCACCGCTCCACCCAACTGGAGAGGAGACCCCTCAGCGAGGCCGCATAGGGCCGGCTCTGGCCGTCCTGGTTCTCGCACCCGCTGGGGGTCTCGTGTGCCCACTGCCACAGCAGATGTCCAGTTCTAAGGGGGGCTCTGTGCAGACCTCAGGCGGCGGACGGTGGGACCAGCCTCCTCCGAAAACCTCGCTCTGGGCTGAAGGGCTCACTGACACCCTGGCAAGACTTCCCCACTGAGTTGAGCTGAGCTGGCATCCGCCATGTCTCACCCTCTGCTGTGACCCACGTACAGGCCGGCCCCCAGAAGAGGTCCCAGCGTACTGGACTGACCTGGCCGAGGCTCCTGGACACATAGCTGCACACGGGCCGTCCTGCCAGGTGCCTGGGTCCCGGCCCAGCAAGGCCACTGACCCTGACCCCAACCCCCAGCTGAGGTGAAGGTTCTCAGCTGGGGGGCCCTGTCTCCAATGGGACACCCCCGTCCAGCCCCTGAGGAACAAAACCCCCAAGCACTGCCAACCTCACACCACTGTTTTCCTCCCACGAGTCGAGACTTCTTCACAACCAGGGAACCGTGTGGCCTCAATACGGCGGGGCCCACACCCAGCACCCTGGGTCTGCAGTCCCAGCGAGTCCCCCGTGAGGAGGGGACCCGGGCAGCACTGCCCCCTCCTTTCCGCACGCAACACCCGGAAGCTCGTCCACAAGTCTCTACTTCCTGTGGCTCCAGCGGGTCCACCACGTGCTGACCCCACCCCCTCTGAATGCACCACAGGTGCTCCCCAAGGTCACGGCCAAGGGAGGCAGAGTGACCTTCCAGGGCAGCGCAGGGCAGTGGACCCTCCACACCGGCCAGGACGCAGCTGATCCCCGATGCAGGCCGTGCACGAGGCGCGGACCCCACTCTCCACGCGACTCAGTGAAAGAAAACAGCTGAGCTGGCACCGGGGGGTGGGTCAGCTCCGAGTCACTTCTGGCACAAGATGACTTCAGGGAAATCTGGGGAATTCTTAGAGAAGAGAAGTAATCTACAACCCTAAACCCACTTCCCATTCTCCCTCCCCCTCATTTTAGATTTTAATATAAAAGTAGTCCGTGACCACTGCAGCAAAACTGAGAAACATAAATTTGAAATCAAGTCACCCCTGAGCCACCAACTAGAAAAGCCACCACCCACCTGTTGCCCAAACACCCCAAAGGAGGCAACACACGGGTGCCGCGGGACCTGGCAGCTGGGCGGATTCGGTCGAGAGTCCTGGGGGCGGAGGACGGCCTTCGAGCACTTCCCCTCGGCCACTTGCTGGGGACAAGTTGAGGGGTCGAAGCCAGAGGGCGGCCTCATAGGCCAGGGCCGACTTCTCGGAACACCAGGGCTCATCCTGACAGAGGTTCCAGGCCTGAGGGCGGGCAGGGGTGTCCAGGCTCCTGTAACTGTTGGAAACAACCTGGGTTCTGAAAGGACAGAACCCAGGGACACATGCAGGCAGGGACAGGACGGGACCACATCTTATCCACCTCTGCGCCGCCCACCGCACTGGCCCTCGGCTGAGGACGGGGCAACCACGGGGACGGAGGGCAGACGCACTGGGGGGCGAGAGATGCACGGGCCGTCAGGATACACGGCCATGGGAGGGGAGAACAGGCCGGGTGGGCGGGTGGGCCGGGCACCACACTGGGAGCAGAGGCGGGAGGCATGATCCCTGGACCAAGGAACCCCCCACAGTTAACGTTCTTGTCTGGTTCTGTTTCTCGTCCAGATTTTTGTTCCCAGATCCTTAACTCAGGTGTGAAGCCAGGATTTCCCAAGACTATCAAGACCAACGACCCGGACGTCCTCAGGGCAGCCAGACACAGCGTCGAGAGCTTCAACAACTGCAGCAACGATGCCTTCCTGTTCCGGGAGTCACACATCAGCAGAGCCCTCGTCCAGGTGGGGTCTGGGCTCAGGACTGCCCAAGGCGGCCAGAACCGGACCGGGGCCACCAGAGTCAAGCACCGAGGCTGGCGCCGTCTCTCACTGCACCAGGCTCCTCCCGGACAGCACACAGGGAGGAGGGCGGGCGAGGGCGGCTACCACGGGCCACAAGCTGCCCCGCCGCCCACCTTCAGGGCTGCCTGCCTGCCGGGCTGCCCGCAGGCCACTGCTCCACGACCCCAAAGCACTTGCGGCCACGTCCCCCAACCACTGCCCCGTCCCTGCAGGAGTGTCACACCCTGCAAGGTCCCCACGCTTCTCAGCGGCCCCATACGAGCAGCTCAGTGCTCCCCCTCCCACGGGGACACCACGAGGCAGCCAGGCCTGGCTCGTCCTGGGTCGCGAGAACACAGGTCAATGAGGGTACAGGACACATTCAGTGACAGGACGCAGCCACTCTCGAAGAGCAGGGGCCCGGTGCAGCCAGTCAGCAAGCTTCACAGTCACTGACCGGGTAGCTGGCCTTGGGGAGAGAGACCCACAGCCCCAAGGATGTGTGCTGCCCAACACCACCCCACATGCTGACTCACGATAATGGTCACCCCTGGGTACAGGATTGGGGGGGTGACTCTATTATCTCTCTTCTCTTTGGTAACCTCAAACTCTCAGGGCGGGATGCTGTCCCTATCATGGAGGGTGGTCTGCACGGGTATAAGTAGCCAGTGTCAGGACTCCAGGGGCCCAGACCCGGGGACTGGGGTCTTCAGCCTCCACCGTCTGCAGAAGCGCATGCCCAAGCCTGGGGGGAGGGAAGTGGGCCCCCAGCTCACCCCATCTCTCACCATGTCCTAGACCCAGTGACCCAGGCCCGCCCTCTATCCCCTCAGATAGTGAAGGGCCTGAAGTTCATGCTGGACCTGGACATCAGCAGAACCACCTGCAAGAAGACCAGGCACTCGAGCCTGGACGACTGCGGCTTTCAGACCAACCGCACCCTGAAGCAGGTAAGAGGGCTCTGGCCTCCCCACCGCTCACCACCCCCCAGCCACCTCCGCAGCCTCGGAAATCACCCTCGGCACTGCTCTACCTGCGAGGTTCCTGACCCCACCCCTGAGCAGCGCCCACGTCCACCCCCGACACGGGAGAGTGAGAGGCAGCCCCCCAGGACTTCCCAAAGGACACCCCTCCTCGCTCCCACAGGCACACCTCCAGGGAGTAAACACTGCAGGTTTGGGGGTGGGGGGAGAGCAAAAGAAAACTTGTACATAATTGAGAAATTTTATATACACACACGGGGAGAGTAGATGTGGCAAAATTTGGTAATTTGTAAATACATGTGTTGAGTATATATTTTTGAATTATTCTTTCAACTTTTCTGTAGGTTTGAAGTTTTTCAAAATAAAGCCAGGGCAGGGAGCGAATTCTTCAGTAAAGAAAACATACATGCACAGGCGTGGGCACACACACAGACACGCACACACGTGAGCACACAAGCACAAGCACACACGTGTACAAACACACACACACACACACACCCGCCTGAGGCAGTGGCACTGGGAACCCACCTCTGCGGCGGGTGAGGTTACCCTGGCGGGGTGGGAAGCCTCCGTGAAGGGGAACTCTCAGGTCACCCTCGTTTCAGACTCTCAGCTGCTACTCTGAGGTCTGGGTCATCCCCTGGCTCCAGAGCTTCAAGGTGCCTGTCCTCCGCTGTCACTGACTCCCGCCTCCCAGCTCCACCCCTGCTGTCGTGGGCCCTGGGAAACAGCATCTCCTGAGAGCAGAATGGCAGACGGCTGGATTGAACACATCAAGCCTCCTCCCAAACTTAACTAGTCTCCCCAACGCTGTGCACCTAGATTCAGGGTCTGCACAGACAGGGCGAGTCCTCCAATGGGGATTACACGGGTTCTCGACCCCAAGGGGCCCTCCCACCTCACTGCCCTGAGATCCCAGGCCCTCGAGGAAAGCCCAGAGGGCCATCTTTCCATCTGAATAACTGTCCCTGCACTGGGCAGGGACCAGGCATCAGTGATGTCTTGGGTGAATAGTTAGGAATAAACCTGAATAAAGAACTGATCACCTTGAAGCAATGCCTGCTGCTTGACCTGCTAAGGGGAGAATGGGGAGAGTCAGGAGGCCCCCTTCCCTCCACAAAGCCCTGGGGGGCCTCGCCACTGAACCGTACTGAAGACCAAAGCCCCAAGGCCCCCCACCTCCAGCTGCGCTGTCCTCTGCGCATCCCACCCCCACGTTCTCTGCTGCCTGAGGCTCGGCAGCTGCGCCTGGGCAGGTAGGTGGGCAGGGACGGAGCAGATCCCACGGCTCGGCCCGGAGAGGGAGGCAGGGCGGGGGACCTGCTGGGCGGGGGCACCGCCGTGGGTGGGAAGGCGGGAAGGCCTTCGCAGTGGAGGCGGCACGAGGCTGGGCCAAGCGGGAGCAGGGGACCCAGACCCCTGCACCATGAGCCTGGGCGTCCTCGTCCAACTACGGATTAGCGCCAAACGTGCTGTCACCTTTAAAAGAACGACTCAGTAATTCACAGGAAACAGAAAATGTGCATTAAATTCGGCGACTTAGCTCGCTGTCATAAACGTGACAAACGCGAACCCCCATGTGAAGTTCCTCTGGCTCCTGCGGCGATGAGAGTCACGATAATTCCACAGCCGCCTCCATTTCTGCGGCCCTGACTCACCTCCTGGTCACTAATTCAGGGGCAGTGGCAGCCACTATGCCACGCGATGCTGGACTCATTCGAGACTCTGAAGGCCCCTGAAGGCAGCCCTCTCGTGAACACAAGCAAGTTCAGCCCCTGCTTGACCCCATCCATCAGCAGGACGGCAGGCACACCGGGTTCCAGCACCAGGGCCAGACGCTTCACGACATACCTGTGGGGCCCCCGTGACTGGTGCAGGGGACACAAGCTCTAAGGTCCCCTCCGTCCTCACTTTCAAACACACACCAGAGCACAAGGCCAAGTGTCTCCTGACAACTGTGAGACCAACCGGACGCTGCCCCACAGGCCTCACGTGGTGTGAGAAAGAGAGGTGTGACGGGAAGCAGCCTCATGGCACCCCTGCCCCCAACTCCCCCTGTGCCCGTGACAGCGTCACTTACCACAGGGAGTGGATGTCAACCAGTGGTGGCCTGAAGTCCCATGCTGCCACCCAATTCTACCTGTTTCTTAAAACTTATCAGCTTTGCTCTAAGAGGGAATGATTCTGACAGTGGGAAGCTGCACCTTCATCTCATTCACTGTCACTGGGAAAATGTAAAGTTAAGGACACAGGATTCTAAGACATACCGTACCAGAATTATGACCAAGAAGAAGAAACACTTGAGGTCTCAAACTGACCAAAACCAGTCTAACTCCCGACAGACACGCCTGCCGTGCACTGTGTTCCAGAGCCTCCCCGCCAGGCCCTCCGCCCCTGCTCACCAGCCGTGCAGACTCTGGGATCCAGCTTCAGGGCCTCCACTCCAGATGCAGCCCAGCCCTCCCCGGGTTGCAGACGGGCCAGGCCCTGAGGAACGCAGCCACCCAGAGGACCACCTGCAAGGCTTAGCCCCGCTGCTGTCCTACCTCGGTGCCCGGGACATAGGCACCCGCAGGCCTGACCCCTGGACTGGGCAGCCACCCTGCCTCCTCGCCCCCAGCCGCCTGTGCCCCTAGGCAGGTCCCTCCCCAGCCTAGGTTCCCCCGTGAGACGCGGCCACGTCTCCTTATATCACAAAGAGGTCAGTGCACATGAAAACTCAACACGGCAGAGAGAAGGCTGATGACAAAAACCTCAACGCGGGGCCTCTGTCCTATAAAAGGCAGCAACTGAGTCCTGATGGAGCTTTTGTAACGATGACAAAGCAGCACACAGTGAATGAATCACTTAATTTTAAGATCATGTTAGTAATTCCCATTAGAGTAAATCCGTTTCATGTTTACAACAAAAACCTATCATATATTTAAGCCTAATGAAGCTATATTTTGCACCTCATCATGGCAAATTACCAGATAAAATACAGGAAATGACACTTTGAGACAGGAAATCAACATCTGAGTCAAAACAAAAAAAAGACACCTTTGCTGAAAACTGTGAAAAGCTACCAGCTTCTCTGCACTGAGAGCACAGCCCTCAGTTCCCAACCAAGAAGAAATGTTCAGGGTCAGCACGCTTGGGTTCTGTGTTTTCGAGGCAGAATGGTCAGGTTTCACCTTACTATTCCTGCAGACTCGATACACGGGTGCACTGTTGCCTGTTAAAAAGCATTTCCTATGAAGTTACAACACCTGACAGGACACGGATCACATCACGGCCATGCAGCCAGTCTGACTCTGCTGTACGCAGCTATGTGTAAAGCTGGCCCCAAGCAGGCAACTCGGAATGAGCCCCCATCAGACCCTGACTCTCTCCCCTAAAATGGTGCAGAGCAGGGAGGGGAAAGGAGCTATGAACCAGCACAAGACACAAACGGTTCAAGTCTCACCACAATGTCGGCCATCCTTGACGTTCAATGTCATCCCCTAGTCAAAATACTGCCTTTTCAAGTTACAAAGACAATTCCAGAGACACAATCCCTGATGTGTTCTCACAAATATGCAGGAAAGGAAGGAGCAGACATCAGCCCCACCTTGCAGAATGGAAACAGGAGAGGGGTGTCATGTGGACTGAGTCAGCGTGGGAGGCAGGCGGCCACAGGGGAGGCCCCGAGCAAATCTAAACATGACCCCAGCAGAACGGCCCCTACGACAGGCGGAGGACAAGACCTTACTCACTGTTACAGTAGATTAAAACCACAGAAGAACTTCCCAGGCAACACCATCCAGAGGTTAATCAGCAGGAAAGTCCATTTAATTACCACAATCACACGGATCACCCCCCAACCGGGACCACGTGTGGACACCCCGTCAGGATACAGAGCAGCATCAGGCTTGTAACACTAGAGCAGACGCAACCCCAGCACGTGCACTATTCACACCTGGGTCTGGGGTGAGGAACCAGGTGTGTGAACAGGACTCCTGGTGCCCAGCGCCCACCTTCACTCCCCATCCTCTGATCCACACGGCAGGCTGTCCACGGAGAAGCCGGTGAGTCCTCTGAGCTGCTGGAATCAACGTGCTCTTCCTCCACACACACCCAGGTCCTTGCCTGCAGAGCGCTGGCGGGTACCCGGGTAGGGAGGGGCCAGGTGCAGCAGGAGGGAGGGAGCCACGGGAGGGACGCCCAGGGCCGAGGCTCAGGTCTCACTTGATTCTGGGGAACGTAGCGTGCCCTCTTCACCTGCACAGCCCATCCGAGGCTTCACACACGTTTCCTCTGAGCTCTCCGCGCCCTCCCGGAGCCCCTCTCACAAAGACACGTATCACCCATTTAACAACAAAGACATCGAGGCTGGCGGGACACAGCCAGCAGCAAAAGCGCGACGCCAGCCGACTCACCCACAGCTCCATCCCCACACCTGAAGCCTGTTAAGTGCACCAAGTCCCTGGGGCCTAAAGAATCACTGCACTTGGGAGAGTTTTTAAGAGACATGGGACTCATCTTCCCCAGGGCAGATGCAAGGCCAAGTCCAGGTGTCCAGGTAACAGTGCCCCGAGAGGCTGCACCACACCGCTGCGGACCGGCAGGTGCAGGTGGGAAGGGTGTGTCCACGCACCTCCTGGCCCAGGGGTGGCGCACAGGGCAACGACGGGCCTAAGCAGACTGCAGGCGTAGTCTGCAGAGGAAAGGGGACCTAAAGGAGCCCAGGTACAGGTGCCCGTCGTGCTCGTGCACCTCGCTCACGTAAGCGGCCACCTGCCCATCGGGGTCATGCAGGCTCCTCCGGAAGGCCCCGCTGTCACTGAGCTCCAGGACGAGGCTGTACCGCGGCACGAACTTCATCACCGTCTCCTGGCTGAACAGCTGAAAGGGAAGCACAGTGAGAGGAGAGCGTGACACGGGCCACGTGGAGTCCTGCAGGCCGGGCACTGTGGCTCTTGTCACCTGCTGTGCACGTCCCACCCACCCTGCCCCCCACCTCCCCACCGGCTCGCTTCCACACGGCACTGCAGCTGCCTTTTTAAAATACCGGCACACCCCACACCTGAACAATTCAGTCAAGAAGTAGCTTGTGGAGCCAAGCAGGGTAGGTGTGTGCAGGGGCGGCCCAGACCAGAGAGTCGGTCTGAGCAGGGAGAGTCCACGCTGGAGAAGAGAGAGGGCCATGGCTCCAAGCAGGGTGTCAGGGCCCAAGCAGGGGAGATGGTGTCCTGCAGCAGGGTGACCTGGCACAGGCCATGAGCCCTTAAGAGGTAAGGCCCCTGCACACGGCTGGGAGGAGGGAAAAGGGCTGGCATGGGTGCTAGAGCCCTAGCCAGGGCCATGTGATGCTGGGGCCACATGACAGCCGAGCCACATGACAGCGGAGGCCACGTGACAGGGGACAATGGCTACAGACAGGGGCAACTGGGGAATCTGATCCCATAGGTATGAAGGAGCATGAGACCCGGGTTTCTCACCTTAGAGAAGGGAAGTACAAACAGACGGTAAGAAAACTGGCATAAATCCTGTGGTATGGGACCGGAAGCAGAGATATAGCCTTACTTACGGTTTTCAATTTAAAGAAACAGATGAAGACACATAAATGTAGGTGTGAGGGTCTGTGCACGAACACGTGTGCATACATCCCCAGCTCTGTCACGAGGGCCTGGGAGCAGCGACCCCCCGTCAGTAAGCACACTTAGCACCTGTCCCCTCTAGGAGAAGCTGGGCTCCCTGACAAACGGCTGATCCCAGAGCCGGGCAGGGAAAGAACAAGAGGAGCCTGAACAATGTGCGGGGCCAGGAAGCAGGAACTACTCCAAGAACGACTGGGACACATGCAAAGGTCAAGGGGCCACACGGAAGGGGCTCCCACTGGCCACAGCCGGACAGTGTGAGCGTCAAAGTAAGCAACGATGGTTAACAGATCATAATCACTGATAAAACCATCAACCCCGAGATCATAATGACACTTACTAACTATCCCCACAAAATACTTATTAATTACAAATGATAAAGAGTAACTTCACAGTGGAAACCCGGCAGCCACCACTGGATGAGGTGACGGGCACTGCAGGGACAAGTGGACACCACGCACCTCCCGACAGGTCACGCTGAGGGCACCGGAGAGGCACAGCCTGAACCTGACCGTAAGAAACACCAGGCAGCCCGAGGCAGGGACATTCTGCAGCAGAGCTGACCTGGGATCCTGAAGGTCAGGTCTGGGAGCCGCTCCAGGCTGAAGGGGACAAGGAGAGGTGGCGACTAAGCCAGCCCGATCCTGGGCACAGTCCCATTACAAAGGACACCCCTGGGCCACTGGCGAGCCTGAGCTGGGTCTGTGCACCGGAGGGTCACCCGTATCCGCGGGACATCCTATCCCAAGGGGGTCATCCCTGCTATAGGAACAGCACTTGGAGCATCCGGGGGCGACAGGTCAGCCACCTGCCTGCAAACAGCTGAGGGAAAGACATCCTCTCTTCCCTTCCTGCTACTTTTTAGGTCTGATGTTGCCTCAAAACTAAAAAAAGAAAATCCTCAAAGACTTCAACAACATTCTGAAGAAAATCTAACCTCCTTTTCAAGTCTGCAAGGCCTGTGGTCCTCTCCCACCTCCCACCTCCCACCTGCCCCAGACCCACCATCTATCTCCCAGCCACATGACGACGCCGGGCCACTCCTGCCCAGGACGCCCATGTCCGGGAACACGCCCACCCCGCTGGCCCTTTCTCACACACGGTCTTGGCTCCTGATGCAGACACTGTTCTAGGCGCTGAGGATAACGGAGAGAACTCAACAGAAAAAGCACCTGCTCTGATGGTGCAGAGATGCAGCCTATCAACCAGGGGAGAGATGCGATCACCACGGACAGAGCACATCCTCTGATGGGTACCAGCTTCAAGCACTCACTATACTCAGCTAAGGGCATCACCTGCATTTTCTCATTAAATTTTTCATCACCTAAGGAAGCGCTATTATTCTTCCCACTTGACAGATGGAGAAACTGAGGCAGAGAGCCCACATCCCCTGCCCAGGGCCCCACAGCTGGTCAGGCCTTCCTCAAGACCCTTCTCCTTGCACACTGCCCCATTCTGCCCCCTCCAGGCCCCAGCGAACAGATGTAACTCTGCAGCCGACGATGCATCATTTCTGAACAGTGAACAACACTGCCGAACTCGGAACAACACTGAAGGCCGTGGGCCAGCCTCACTGAGAAGGTGCCCACAGCCCTCAGCAGGGCTACGTGCCGCACAGACTCAGCAACTGCTGCCCAGCACCTTCCAGGACCTTAAGTCTCAAATAGGTTAGTATTTGCAACTAAGGACATGGGCGAAATCCCATGAAGGGGGTGATGAGGCTCCGAGGAGGCAGGAGGAAGCGGGGCGGGAGGAAGGGGCACCTGCAACCACTCAAGGAAGAGCTGAGTTTGCTGAGGACGGGGTCTCAGGGAGAGCGGAGAGCAAGAGGGACAGGCAGGGCTAGAGGCCCCAACAGGTCACAACGGGGAGGGTGACGATAAAAATACCCAGACAAGGAAACCAAGAGAAAAAACTCAGAGGGCTCAAATGTTTACATTTACGTTACAAGGCAAAGAATAAAATATGTTTTAAAGAAGTCATTAAAAGCACCAAATACTATAAGCAGAACTAGAATTTTCAGAGCTTCCATAAAGGTCAAAAAACCCATAATTAGATGCATTTTCATTTTGTTTTTTGAAATCAATAGTTCTCATAGTTACCTTAAAAATCATTCTTTTAAGATACGGTCTCTCGGATAAGAAATCCAACATGGAAAACCCAGGATTGGAGCGAACGGTCGACATGCCGACCCAGTAACCCCCGGAGCTGCTGGCTCGGATGTTGTCTGGGAATCCAGGCAAGTTCTCCACAAACAGGTCGGCCCCTCCCTTCATCAGGCCAGACACGTAGAACCTGAAAAATTCGCCCAAGCAGGCAATGAGTGGCAGCCCCCCAACTGAAGGAAAAATTTTAGCCAAGCATCAAACTGGTCTTGGTCCCAATAACCGAATGGATACAACTGTAAACCCATCCATCACGAACGATGGCACGTCTGCTCCAAGAAGCCCTCAGAGCCCTGGGCCCACCCAGCAAGAAGCAGGTACGGGAAGCAGGGCCGGACCAGGCCCACCAGCAGGGAAAAGGGCCGGGATCGCAGCCAGCATTCCATCAAGACTCTCCCAGCCCATGACGCGCAAGAAGGCTGAGGAAGGGAGAGGGAAGATGACTCTCTCATCACACAGGACAGGCACCCGCTGCGTCCCAGGCTCTGCAGCTGACACCTCACAGCCACCCGGCCCACAGCTCGGTGGACTTGACATCAGCTCACGCACCTCCTGATCCTCGCCATGGTCAATTCCGCCACCAGGACAAAGTCCTCCGCAGGTGAGAGCTGCACCCCGTTGGGAAACCGCAAGTGGTCCAGCAAAACCTTCACCTCCTTGGTCTCGGTATCGTACTCCAGCAGGCTGTGGGCGCCAACAGCGGAGGTCACACGGGGTGTCTGGGGGCCCCTGCTGCGCTAGAGCCCTGCTCCCGGTCTGGGCCCTCAGGCACCCTCCTCCAGGCAAGCCCACAGTCAGCTCTCTCGCTGACCTGAGCACTGGTTCAGCACCAGGGAGGGCCACCGTGGCTGCAGCCTCACAGGAGTCCCCTTCAGAGGTCGCCTGTGAGGTCTCCCCCCGCTGCAAGACCACACCCTCAGACAGCCTGGCCATTCTACCTTCATTTCTCCAAAGAAGAAAGTGAGAACATCTCGCTGTTTCATTGTGTCCGTCACCTGTTTCCAGGAGACAGTAAGATCCTCCCTTAAAAGCTGAGTACTATGCTCAGAAACACCCCAACAATTCCTGGATGTAATAAGCTCTGCGAAGTCACCCTGCCTGTCTACAGCCTCCCTGAGGAGAAGATCCAGAAGGAACACTCACCGACCATCATCTGTCCCCTCCATCACCAGCAGCAGATAATCTCGTCTTTGCCATTTGCTGCTAGAATCCGTAAAATAAATCTTCCTCCCGTCCCGAGTTACTGTAAGATCATTCACGAAGGACATTTTCCTCCCCTCAATGGGTGTCTCGGAGGACAGCAGCAGTTTTACTTCACCTGAGGCAAGGCGGGGGGAGGAAGAAAAGGAAAGAAGGGAAGAAAGAAAGAAGGGGAGAGACTTGCTTGTATTCTAAGAACGTGTAACTCAATAATTTCAAAATATCAATCGGCCTAACTGATTTACAAGGAAAAACTAAATGAGCTTCTCCGTGTCCTGACAGAAGATTTATTCCTTCTTACAGTAAAACTCAGTGTTTTCCTTTCTTTCTATTAGGTGATGAATTTTTTTAGACCAGCTCCACTAAAGGCAGAATCCCCCCTCTAAGGATGAGGAACTCCTTTTATCAAGACCAACTGACTTAAAAATCTGGTAAGAATCTTAGGTTAAAAAGGCAATTTTCTATTTGTCTGCTTGAGAGAAATACAGAAAGTTCACCTCATCTGCTTTTAAATTTAAAAGGCAGGAATCACAGTAAATCTTTTTAGATTGTAGCACAAACGTTCAAGGAGCGCTCAGCGCTTCCCACATATAATCCCATTTAAACCCCCCACAACTATCGCGCAAGGCAGGCACTCCCGTCATCCCTGCCCCGTGGGTGAGGAAAGCAGGCACAGAGAGGCTGAGTAACTCTCACACAGCCAGCACCCAGCAGAGCGGGGGCCGCCCAGGGGCCCGGTGCACCACCCACGATGGCAACTCCTCCCTCAGCATGAACCTCCCGCTGAAGCACACATAGCAATACTGTGGCACTGATCGAGGTGACATCGTGCTCAGTCAGGGGAGAGAAAGAGGAGAAGGAACTGGAGGAAGGAAAAGACAGAGAGGCAGAAAACAAACAGCAAGACCAGATGCAGAGAAATACAGAGAAGTAAAGATAGGAAGAGGAGCCTAACATCCTCAACATGAGTCCTTCTGAGATCCTGTGGCTCAAACACAAAGGCCAGGGGAAAGGAGGGAATGGGCCAGAAGCAGGCATAAGTGAGGAGCCACACGGTGTGAATACTGGCTGGTATCTGCAGGTAATATTTTCAGTTCCATTCAGTGAATAAGAAAAACATCAGGGTCTCCAGTAGACTGTACTGAACAAATTCTACTAAATCCATTTATAAATAAATGCACATACTGTTTAAAAGATCAGCAATCATCATAGAAGGAAACAAGTTACTGTCACTTACCTTTCCAGGGATTTACTTCAAATAGCCCTTTGTATGCATCAGCCACAAAAAGGGTCCCGTTGGGCCCGGCCCGGATGCCCAGGGGTCTCCCACAAGCAGGCTCATCATCTCGGGTTTCTAGGGAAACAGACAGGAATCAGTGGCTGGTCCAAGATTTGTGGCCCCTCAGTGTCCAAACACCTCCTCCACCCCGTCCTAAACCTGCATCATGCTGTAGAGAACAAAACAGACCATGGCTTCAGAGACAGACTCGGCCCCCCATGTTCCAGCCCCCCTAGAGCTTAGGACAATTGTCCAGCATGTCTAGAGGGACCACCCGAGAATCTGGATGTGGACATAAGCACAGCAACTGATACTCAAGAATTAAGTTCACATCAGCACCCTGAGACTCAAACAGTTAACTCAGGGACGTCAGCAGACACAGGCCCCACTCCCAAATCCCCCAGAACCTCAGGAGTCGGATTTAGGCCCAACAGCTGGACCTGAATGCTGTGCCCATCCAGGGACATGGCAGCGTCCCTCCTCCCGTCATGAAGGGAAAGCTCCTGTTTTACTGCTGAGATCCACTCTCCTGTTCTACTACCTATACTCTTTTTAAACCCGTGGCGGAGCGTATTTATTGCCGGGCACTCACTGCAGGGCACTTACCGCAGAGTGCTTACTATAGGGTGCTCACCGCAGGGTGTGCTCCTCAAGGTGTATACTGCAGGGCACTTACTGCAGAGGCACTTACAGGCAAAATACGGAGTGGGAAAAAGCAGGTTAAATACCCAAATGTAGAGTATGATTCCATCACATAAAACCATGTGTGGGTGTGAGTATCCATGAACAGAAAGAAATCGGAAAAGTTATTCATTAAATTGTTAACAGTTACATCTGAGAAGACTCTGAGGTGATTTTTACTTTCTTCTCTGCGTTGTTTGCATTTCACCATAAAAATGCATCATTTTTAGAAAAACATTCTAGCTCTTAAAAAAATAAGTCTGGGAGCTACCAGTTTTTAAACAGTGAGTTTCTAAAAGCTGAGCGACCTAAGGGTATTTCACTCTGGATGCAGGGCTGAGGTTCCTGAGGGGGCTAGTACAGGTATGCGCTCCAGCACGTGAGGAACAAAGCCCAGCACCTCCTGCAGCAGCTCTGGGGTGTGGGGGCCCGGCAAGGCCACGGCCACAGCTGGATGGGAAACTGCAAGCACAGGTGGCAAATGAGGAGCCCAGGCAGCCTCTAGCTGGGCCGTCAGGCTCTCCTCCTCCAAGGACCCGACTTCTGGGGAAGACAGCTCCTCCTGGCACCCTCCTGGGTGCCTGGAAGAGACACACGTCAGGGGTCATTGACTTACTGCATGGGCCTGAGCCAAACCGGGCGATGGTCTCTACTTCACCGTTTTCAAGTTTTACGATTCGACCATCTGCTGTACCAGTGAACATTACATCTGTTTAAAGACAGGAGGGAATAAGGGTATTACTGGGTTAGCCTAAAAACTGTGCTCTCACAACCTTCTACAACAGAGGCGGCCAGTCTGTGCTTTTTATCTCCAGAGAGGAAACGGCAGTTTTGAAGATGAAGGCAAGTGGTGTCTGGGGACAAAAGTCTTAACACGTGCAGCGATAAACCCCACGGGGGCCTCAGACAGCATGGCTGTGACCCCGAGGCTGGATCCAGGGCACAGCAGACACCAGTCAGGGATAAAAACAGGATTTTCTACCCTCAAAGAAGCGGGGACCCTCGGGCTGACGCTCAGCACTCGGGGCTGTTCACGTCTGCTTCATGTCAGTGTCTGCTGCTGAAGCCGATTACACCCAGCCAAAGGGGAAGAACTGCTAGGAAGGCCCTCGGTGTAAAATTAAGTGCTCACTTCAGCAGCACATACACTAGAACTGGAACCACAAAGATGATGTGCAAATTCATGAAATGCTCCATATTTTTAAATGTATATTGCAAACTCTAGGGCAACCACTAAAAGAAGTTTTTAAAATAAGTATAACTGATATGCGAAGAAAGGAGAGAAAATAGAATCATAAATGTTCAGCTGAAACTACAAAGTCAGAAGGAGAGTGGAAGAGAAAATAAGAAATAAAAAAACAAAGGCAATGAACAGAAAACAGTAACAAATATGGGAAATAGAAATCCAACCACAGTTAACCCTTGAACAACCTGGGAGTTAGGGGTGTCAACTGTCACCCTGTGCACTGTCGAAAGCCTGTGCACAACTTTATGGTCAGCCCTCACATCCTCCAGGCTCTGCATCGCAAGGTTCTGCACCCGCGGATTTAAGCAACTGCGGACCGAGTAGTGCTGTAGAATGTATTTACCGGAAAAAAATCCACGTGCAAGTGGACCCACGCAGTTCAAACCCGACTTGTTCAAGGGTCAACTGTATATCAATTATCATTTTCAACATCAATGGTATAAAAACCCCAATTAAAAAACAGAGACTGTCAGAGTGTATCAAAAAACAAGACCCAACTATATGCAGTCTACAAGAAACCCTCTTTAGATATACAGACACACATAGAGTAAAAATGAAGGGGCAGAGAAAGATATACTACACTAACACTAATCAAAGAAAGCTGGAGTAGTTCTACTAATCTCCGAGCAGCTGCAGACCTAGGAACACAATCAGGGATCAAGAAGGCCTCCACGTAACGACGAAGGGTCAACTGTAGAGAAGACATAACAGTCCTTAACATGTATGTGCCTAAGAACAATCATCAAAATACATGAGGCAAAACTGACAGAACTGCAAGGAAGCAGATGAATCCATGATTAGGGGAGGAGACCTCAGCACACCTCTCTCAGAAATGGACAGATACTGATGGACAACAAGGTCTGACTGTACAGCACAGGGAACTATATTCAATGTCCTGGGATAACCCATAATGAAAAAGAACGTATACATATGTGTAACTGAGTCACTTTGCTGTACAGCAGAAATTAACACAACATTGAAAATCAACTATACTTCGATATAAAAAAAATAAAAAAGAAATGGAAAGATCCTGCAGACAGAAAATTAGTAAAGACACAGCTGAACTCAACAGCATCACTGATTAACTGGATATCAACTACCTCATCCAAACAACAGCAGAATATATACTTTTCTCAAGTTCACATGGAACATTCACCAAGACAGACCATATTCTGGGCCACAACACACACCTTAACAAATTTAAAAGAATAAAAATCATACAACATCTGCTCTCAGACCAAAATGAAATTAAACTAGAAATCAATAACAGAAAGCGAGCTGGAAAATCACAAAATACTTGGAGATTAAACAACATGCACTTCTAAATAACACATAATTCAAAGAAGAAACCTCAAGAGAAATTAGAAAACATTTTGAACTAAATTAAAATGAAAATACAACTTATAAAAATTTTCTGGCTGCAGAGAAATCAGTGCTTAGAAAGAAAGTTGTAGCATCAAAGGCATATATTAGAAAAGAAAAAAGACCTAAAATCAATCATCTAAGTTTCCATCTCAGGAAACTAGAAAAAGAAGAGCAAATGAAACCCCAGGTAAGCAGAAGAAACAAATAATAAAAATTAGAGCAGATATCAATGAAATTTAAAACAGGAAATCAATAGAGAAAAATCACCAAAACAAAAGCTGGTTTTTTGAAAAGATCAATAAAATACTGGGTTGGCCCAAAAGTTTGTTTGGGTTTTTCCGTAAGATGCTACGGAAAACCCAAATGCACTTTTTGGCCAATCCAATAAATAATCCCCTAGCCAGGCTAACAAAGAAGAGAAAAGATAGAAATTACCAATATCAGAAATGAAAGCGGGAACATCACTATAGACCCCATGGACATTAAAAGGATAATAAAGGAACACTACGAACAACTCTATGTTCACAAATTTGATAATGTAGATGAAATGGTCCAATTCCTTGAAAGACACAATCTGCCAAAACTCACACAAGAAGAAAAGAGACAATCTGAATAGGTCTGTATCTATTGAGGAAATGAATCAATAATTAATAACCTTCCAAAACAGTACCAGACTGAGATGGGTTCACTGATGAATTCTACTAAACATTTAAGGAAGAAATGATACCAATTTTCTATAATCTCTTCCAGAAAATAGAAGCAGAGGAAATACTTCTTAACTCATTCTATGAAGCCAGCATCACCCTAATACCAAAACCAGACAAAGTCATTTCAAGAAAACTACAGACCGGACTTCCCTGGTGGCGCAGTGGTTAAGAATCTGCCTGCCAATGCAGGGGACACAGGTTCGAGCCCTGGTCCAGGAAGATCCCACATGCTGCGGAGCAACTAAGCCCATGCACCACAACTACTGAGCCTGTGCTCTAGAGCTCGCGAGCCACAACTATTGAGCCTGCGTGCCACAACTACTGAAGCCTGCACACCTAGAGCCCGTGCTCCGCAACAAGAGAAGCCACCGCAATGAGAAGCCCGTGCACTGCAATGAAGAGTAGCCCCCACTCACCGCAACTAGAGAAAGCCCTCGCGCAGCAACGAAGACTCAACGCAGCCAAAAGTAAATTAAAATAAATTTAAAAAAAAAGAAAACTACAGACCAACATCTCTCATGTACAAAGATGCAAAAATCCTCAAGAAAATATTAGCAAATCAAATCCAACAATGTATAAAAAGAATTATACACCCCAACCAAGTGGGATTTATCCCAAGTACGCGAGGCTAGTTTAGCATTTGAAAATCGGTTAAGTAATCCACAATATCAACAGAGTAAAGAAAAACTACATGAACATATCAATAGATGCAGAAAAAGCATTGACAAAAACCCAACACTCATTTCATGATAAAAACTTTTAGCAAATTAGGAGCAGAGGGGAACTTCCTCAACTTGATAAAGAATATCTACAAAAAATCTACAGTTAACATCATACTTAATGGTGAAAACTAGACGCTTTCCCACTAAAATCAGGAACAAAGCAAGGATGTCTGCTCTCATCACTCCTTTACAATACTGGACTGAAAGTTCTAGCTAAAGCAATAAGACCAGAAAAGGACATAAAAGGTATACTTATTGGGAAGGAGGAAATAAAACTATCTTCACTTGTAGATGACATGATTGTCTATGTCGAAAATCCCAAAGGATCAACAATAACAAAAAAAACTCCTGGAACTAATAAGCAATTATAGCAAGGTTGCAGGATACAAAGATAATATACAAAAGTCAATCAGTTTCCTACATACCAGCAATGAACAAGTGAAATTTGAAATTAAAATCAGAATACCATTTACACTAGCTTCCAAAAGAATGAAGTATTTGGTTTAAATATAACAAAATATGTACAAGATCTAGATGAGGAAAACCATGGAACTCTGATAACAGAAATCAAAGAACTAAATTAAAGGAGAGATATTCCATGTTCATGGATTGGAAGATTCAACATTGTCAAGAGGTTCTTCCCAACTTGATCTATAGATTCAAAGCAATCCCAAGCAGCTATTTTGTAGATATCCACCAAATGATTCTAATGCTTATATGGAGAAGCAAAAGATCCAGAAGAGCCAAGACAAAAAGCTGGAGGACTGACACTACCTGACTTCAAGGCTTACTATAAAGCTACAATAATGAAGGCAGTGTGGTAATAGCAAAAGAAGAGACAAATAGATCAAAGTAACAGAATACAGAGCCCAGAAACAGATTCACAACTCATCTCTAACAAAGAAGCAAAGGCAATATAATGAGGTATAGATGGTCTCTTCAACAAATGTTGCTGGAACAACTGGACATTCACCTGCAAAAAGATGAACCTAGACACAGACCTTACACCCTTCACAAAAATTAAATCAAAATGGATCACAGACCTAGATCAAGTAAAACACAAAACTACAAAACTCCTAGAAGACAAAAAAGGAGAAAACTTAGTTGACTTTGGGTGTGGTGATGACATTTTAAATATAACACCAAAGACATGATCCATGAAAGAAAGAATTGATAAGCTGGACTTCATTAAAACTAAAAACTTCTGCTCTGAGAAAGACACCATCTAGGGAATAAGAAGACAAGCCACACAGACTGGGAGAAAGTATCTGCAAATGATGCATCTGATAAAGAACTTGTATTCAACGTATGTGAAGAACTCTTAAAACTCAACAATGAGAAAATGAATAATCCAATTTAAAAAATATCCCAAAGACTTAAACAGACACCTCACCACAGAAGATATACAGATGGCAAATAAGCATATGAAAAGATGCTCCACATCATATGGCAGCAGGAAATTGCAAATTAAAACAGCCATGAGATACCACTTCACACCTATTAAAATGGCCAAAATCCAGAACACTGACAACACCAAATGCTGGCGAGGATGTGGAGCAACAGGAACGCTCATTCACTGCTCGGGGGGAATGAAAAATGGTACAGCCACCTTGGAAGACAGTTTGGCAGTTTCTTATGAAACTAAACATACTCTTATTATACGATCCAGCAATTATTTTGGTATTTGCCCAAATGAACTGAAAACTTAAGTCCACGAAATAATTTGCACACAGATGTTTACAGCAGGTTTATTTATAATTTCCAAACCTTGGATGCAACCAAAATGTCCTCCAGTAGGTGAATGGAAAAATAAACTACGCTACATCCAGACAACAGAATATTATTCAGCAATAAAAAGGAATGAGCTATAAAGCCGTGAAAAGACATGGAGGAACCTTAAATACATATCAGTAAGTGAAAGAAGTCAATCTGAAAAGACTATATGCTGTATAATTCTAACTCTAAGACATTTGGAAAAGGCAAAACTAAGGAGACAGGAAACAGATCAGTGGTTGCCAGAGGCTGGGGGCAGAGAGGGATGAAGAGGTGGAGCACAGAGGATTTCTGGAGAGGCAGTAAAAATTTTCTGTATGATACTACAATGATGGATGCATGTCATTAAACATTTGTCCAAACCCATAGAACGTACACACCAAGAGTGAACCCTAATGTGAACTGTGGAATCTGGTGATGATGATGTGTCAATGGAGGGTCATCAATTGTAACAAATGTACCATCTTATGGGAGATGTTAATAACGGGGCAAGGGACTTCCCTGGTGGCACAGTGGTTAAGAATCTGCCCGCCAATGCACAGGACACAGGTTCAAGCCCTGGTCCAGGAAGATCCCACATGCCGCGGAGCAACTAAGCCCGTGCACCACAACTTGAGCCTGCGCTCTAGAGCCCGCGAGGCACAACTACTGAGCCCGCATGCTACAACTACTGAAGCCCCCACGCCTAGAGCCCGTGCTCCACAACAGGAGAAGCCACTGGGATGAGAAGCCCACATCCGCACGAAGAGTAGCCCCCGCTCAACGCAACTAGAGAAAAGCCCGCGCACAGCAACCGAAGACCCGATGCAGCCAAAAATAAACAAATAAAATAAATTTAAAAAAATAATAATAATGGGGAAAGTAGGGGGTAGGGGATATATGGTAAATCTCTGTACCTTCCCCTCAATTTTGCTGTGACTCCAAAACTGCTCTAAAACATAGTCTATTTAAAAAATTAAAGGATGTTCATTGGCAACTCCGGAGGCTAGTGCCTCCCTCCACTGTCAGCAGCAGTGGGTCCCCAGGGCCTTTGTGCGGTTCACACCTGCAGCGGGTAACCAGAAATATCACCAAAGGACAAGCAGCTCCTTTAAGAGAGAAAAGGGAGGCGTGATGAGAGAGCAAGATGAGGCATCAGGCCAAGTAGAAAAGACAAGAAAAGCATCCTCTGAGAGATTTTTTTAAAAATCACTATAACTCCTCAAAGTTCCAGTTTTAAATGTCAATACCGGGTTTTTTTAACCAAAAACACAAAATCTGTGAAATTAATAAACATCAAAATCTTTTTAAGAGAAACATGAAGCTCTATCACGAAGTGCCCATCCCTCCTGAACAATTCTGACTTTGCCACCAACTGCAGAAACACTCAGTCCTCGGGCCAGCCAAACAGTAGGGCTGGGAAAGAGGGGCTGGTCCACAGCAACAGAGGTGGAGGCGTGGGCCTGACAGGCCTTTGGAAGGAAACAGAAGCACACTGGCCGCCCATGCCCACAGCCGTTCCACCGTGCTTTGGAAAGACGGCCAGTGAGCAGAGGTAAGAAGTGGCTGGGAAATCCTCACATCTCAACCCTCGGCAAACTTTTCATTAACTATATTTTTTTATTCCTGAGCTTAACTCTCATTCTAACAGACAGAAAAGACCTGTTCCAGGTTGCTACAGACTCAAGAATTAGAACCAGACCCTATTCCAGTTCTTAGGTTTGGGCAACTTTGAAGCAGATGGTTACCCTTAAATGTACCCACCAAAGTGAGCTTTAGAAAAAAAGTGGAAATATTGAGAATGGTTCCTGTTCTTTTCAAAAATGAAATCTACACAAAGACAATCTGTGCTAGGAACGTCCTATCAAGTAACACCTACCCAATGTGATAAATGAACTGAGCACCAATGTTTGTCCACATTTTTTCCTTTCTCCTTTCACTTTAAAGGGTCCAACAGTTTGAGCAGAATAAAATGCTTCACAGACATGAACTCAAAATCACCCAGCACTAAAATGGCCTGCAACTCGGAGAGGTGAGAGGTTCCCGCAGGGCATCTGGTAGACAAACACGTGCACGACCGCAGCCAAGAAGGCTGCCCGGGGCTCCCCACGGAGCTGCCCCCACAGGACCCCACTCAGGCAACAGACAGCGCCAAGTCCCAGGGGTCTACTTACCCCCAATATGTGCTATGGACTCTGGCCCAACAAGCTGATTTTCAAAAAGCCTTTCCGCCTGTCGCAACTTCGTATTTGGTTGCAGGACACCAAGCAAGAGCGGGGGTTCTTTGAAGCTGTAAAATAACGCAATTATAGGGATTTGTCTATAAAAGTACATGAAGAAAGTATTTACGGAGAACCTACAAGGACCTACACGCATAACTCCCCATTCTTTGACAAAGAGCACATGTTCCAATAACATCCTTAGTTGCCAGAAGCACAAGTTAAGAAAAAGAACTTCCTGGGATATCAGGAAAGGTTACAGCACAGAAGAGAACTGAGAACGTAAGTGTGGCTGATGCAAGAACTCCGCAGGAGCAGCCACCCAAGGCCACCGCGCCTCCGCCCACCCATCCAACCTGCTCCACCCTGCGGTTCACACGCCCAGGCCTTTATTCTCCCCCGGGCTGCCAGGCCATCCGGGTCCAGCTGAGACGGAGGGAGCGGAGTGGACATTTCACAGTGACAGCCTCACCTCCCACTCCAGAGGGGACAGAAGATGGCTGGGCCTGGCGCCACAGCCCCAGCGTCTGCACACGCGCACCTGTCTCCCGCCTGTCACTCTCGGGGGCCCCCCAGCTCCCTCTGGCCTGGACCCCTCCCCACACGAAGAAGCCGCCCCAGGAGCTCTCCCCTTTCCACACACAGGCAAATACGCCATTTCTCCCAACCCGTCAGCAACTCTTGCTGATGCCACCCGTACAAGTCAGGTCCTCTGCTGCCAGCCTGGTCCACGCCACCATCTTCCCTCCCCACCTCCTCCCTTGTCCCCCACAGTCTGCTCGCAACCCAGCAGCCCACCTGCACCTTAGGAAACACAGTCAGATCACGGCATCCGCCCCTCAAACCCCTGCAACGGGCCCTCTCCCCCGGAGCCAAGGTCTTCCATGAGCTCCTCGCCCTGAAGTCCGGCCACAGCCTCCTCTCCTCCCCTCACTCTGCCTCCCTGCTGGTCCCTGAGAGCACCAGGCATTTCCCATCCTAAGTCTGCTGCCTCCTCTCCATCACCTTCTCAGTGAAGCCTGCTCCCACCACCCAATTTAGCGTCCAACACGGCCCCCAGAAGCACAGACCCCACCCCACTCGACTTTGCTGGCAACACTTTTCAGCTCTCACTTCTCTATGTCAACTGTCTGTCCCCACAAGAACACACGAGATCAGGGATTTGTTGTGTTTTTTCCCTGTTGTATCCTGAACACCTGGCACCCAGGAGGCTCCCGGGGAGTACCGTGGGAGGGAGGGAGGAAGGGAGGAGAGCTCCCACTTCCCCCCCACTTTGCCCACCAGAGTGGGACAACCAAGGCGGGGGGGGGGGTGATGTGGGAACTCTCCACCCCCATCCCCCTCCAGGCAGAACTCTTCACTCCCTTCCGCCTCCTACTCAAGACACAGCACAACTCCCCCCAAATTAAATCCCCCCGCTTCACCATCTGCTGCCTCCCAATTATGGCTTTCTACCTGCTTTTCAAAAACACACTCTTGGGTTAACTAAGGAGTTTTATTTCCAAAGGGGGAGAACAGGACCATGACCTGCAACACACCTGGGTTCAAACTCTGCCCGGGAAGGTCACACCTCCCAGGTGCAGGTACATGTGTAAACGGAACAACAGACGAGCACACAGAGCAGGGGCAGAGGAGCCTCCCCTGAGACTCAACCTCCCTCTGCCCACGTGGACGCTGCCGGTTTCCCTGCACTCAGGAGGTCCTCAGGGAATGGCTGCAGCATCAAACTAGTCAGTGTATCACGTGCTGTCCCTGCCCCCAAGGAGTCTGGGTAATCTCCGCGGGGAAACAAGGAAACATAGGAGAAAATGCAAAGGACACACAAACAGGGCCCCCAGGCCCGCCGCTGGGCGCAGAAGCATCAGGGAACAGCAGCCCAGGAGGCCCAGCCCAGCACCTCGGGCCGGCCCAGGTCCATGGACTCGCATTAACTCATTAATTGTTAACTCCTATTCACTCGTGCTACTCCCCCTAACTTCAGTCACCACTTATGCTCAGTTTCCAATTTTATCCTGTTTCTCCCCATGGTTCCATTTGATCAGGATCACTCTTTAGTCTTCCTTCTGAGGTGGAACTGAGGAAATGCCCCCCCGACTGTGAGCTGTGAATGTGTCTCACAAGCATGTGGCCAGGACACGGCCCATGGGCCCCAATTCAGCAGTGGTCACCGCAGCCTCCACCCACCACTTTGTGGAAGGACTCAGCTTCCATCCAGAAAGGAACAGAAACATTATTTTTCATAAAAGGATAGGACTGTTTCTGCCATATTTAAACCATATTTTTCAGTTACTGTAAAATTTAACATAAAAAACACGTGTTTTAAAGAAGAGATTTTTTGTGGCTATAATTTAAAAAACCAACAGGAATAGTAATTCTTCTAGCAACTGAAAGCTATTACCATTACTGTCAAAAGTATGCATTTTATTAGCAGAGTGAAACTGTAAAACTCAAAGATAATAAATAAATAGTGGCAATAAAATGCTACAGGTGGTCAGAGATGTGAGGAGCAAATAGAAACACAAAAAATAAAACTCAGGCAAGGCCCACGGGAGATCTGCAGGGGAAGGAGAGAGACAGTGTCCCATGCCCCCTGACCCCTTCAGGAGGGAGACACACTGGGGTCCTCAGAGATGCTCAGGAAACCTTTGAGCCACCCAACCCCTCTGGTTCCATGAGCAGACGCTCCTGTGCAGTGAGGACCACCAAGCTGATGCAAGTTTCCTGCGCCCGTGCCAACCACAGGTGACCACACCACTGGGCTCCCATCTCTCCACATGCAAAATGTATCCTGACGTACACTGAGCAACACCCTCCAGGAATCGGGATGTCACTTATGTCGTGTCCACTAGTCCCCAATCTTCCTAACAAAGAAAAGAAGGCTGCTCTGCACAGCAGGATCTGGCCAAGTCTGGCAGCCTTCCCGCTGACTCTGCTCCCTAAGGACTGCCGCCAACTACATAACAAGCCACCCTGGAAGGGTCTCCCCTAGTCTTGCGCCCTCTGGGTCTGTCTGTCCTCTGTTTTCCTGAATCCCCTGCAGACAGAGCCCCCAGGACACCTCCGCCAGCTGAGCCCCACCAGCACTGAGACTGCACCGCTCACCCTAGTCAGTGGGTCTCCCCCTTCCTTGTTCACTTTGCTCTGAAGGGAGTTTTACAAAAGTCCTGTTTGCTGCTGTTATCAGCACTTTTCCCCAAACCGCAGATCGTTCCCGTTCTCACCATCTGCCAGCCTTCTGCCTTCATTCCGGCTTTGGGGGCCCACAGCCCCAATGTGGGAGCCAGTCATTCCCTAACTCTGAGCCCAGGAGAGGCCCGTCAGCCACACCGGTTTCTCTGGGTTTCTCCTCACCCGGCACATCTACTCCACAGACAGGGCTCATTCTGCACAACCTCAAAACCTTCCTGACCTCGCTCCCCTCCAGGCTGTCAGGACTTCACACCTTCTTTCCCCGAATTGCTTCACCACTCTGCACAATAAATGACCTCTACTGAGATCATAGGTCTTCGGTCATGGAAGCTCTAACCCTCCCTGTCCCCTCAGATGCCAGATGCTCACCTGCTCCCCACTGCCTCCTCTCTCCAAGGCCAGCTCCCCAGCCCAGGTTTTGATCCCCAGCTGTGGACACAATTCATGCTCCTGCCTGGCCAACTGGATTATCCAGAAAGGCCCAGGCAGTTTGCATTTGGGGCAGGCTTAGCCGCATCCTTCTACCCAGTGAGGGGGTCGGCAGGAGGGAGCCCCTTGGAGAGGACGCCCAACACACCACCATGAAGCCTCAACTCTCATTCACAAACCACCAACGTGTTATTCAGTTGTACCTGTTAGATTCTCTCTATACTGAGCCAGGGTTCTTATCTAAAGCTTTAAAGTCTTACATGAACTCACTCATAGTAAACTTCAGACAGCCTCATCACCCTGGGCGGTTCTGAGGGGAAACAGGAACTTACTGAACCAGGCTGCACAGCCCTTGATGTCATAAATAATTATACCAAGAGGAGCCTGGCTCTGCGTGACTGTAATTACAAATGTGAATACATTCACAAGACCCTGAGGTGTACACTATTTTTTCAAGTTATAACGGACTGCATTACCCACAGATCCCCACTGATAAAGGGTAACTTAGGAAAAATAGAACAGTAATTACAAGGTTTACTAAAAATCAGCTACTTATAAATCCTTATTCCAGCAAACATATTTGTGACTGCTGAACAAATAGCACTTATCAATTAAAAAAAAAATCAGTTACTTAAAAAATGTAAAGAAGGCAACTTGAACTTAACCTTCATTTATGTGTGCTTTTGACACTTCAAATGAATTCAGGTTAATCGTCTCTAATACTTAAGCTTCTTTTGTTTGGGATTTTTCTGGTTTTTAATTTTGCTTTGTACAGTTTTGTTTTTGAAACAGTAACATGGATAATACTGTACAACATCTAACTTAACATGAAACACAGGCACTAAAGAAATCACTGATCTCTATTTCCCATAATAACTTACCTTTCAGAGCAGGTTGGTTTATCAGTCGAGAAGTCATTTCAGCCTGTTTACTATATTTTGTCAAGCAACAGCCCCAGCCCCCCAAGTTGTGCAACAGCTCACCTGAGAGGCTGTGGGTCTATGGGAGAGTCCAGCAGCATCATGGCACCAAGCAGGGGGACGGTGAGGAACACAGCCAGCATCAGGAAGGTGGCTCGGAACACTCTGCCACTGAAGGAGCTGCCAGAGACAAAGCACAGGAAGGCACTGGGCAGGGCTCAGGCAGAATGGCCGCAGTCTCGGCCCTCTGGGCAGGGGCAGCCCTCCCGCCTGGCCTGCCCGCCACCACCTCCATGTCAGTGACTAAAGGTCAGCACTGTGCACTCCATGCCCTTGCTCTTTTGTTAACCTTTCAGCGTGTGGGACACTCTTCTCGGTTATTTCCAAGGTAGTCTGCTAAGCTGTATCTTGGATCCTCTAGCAGAGGTTAAAAGTGGGCAACCCAAAGAACTGATGGGCACAAAGTGACAGAGGAGAGAGTGGCGCTGAGGCAAGGAGCCACCCTCATCCACGGGGAAGACAGCATCCCTCAGCCACCACCTCTGGCCGCCTGGACTCAAAGAAGCAATGCTCAGAGACAAACTCAAGAAGGAAATAGGGCTTCCCTGGTGGTGCACTGGTTAAGAATCCGCCTGGGCTTACCTGGTGGCGCAGTGGTTCAGAGTCTGCCTGCCGATGCAGGGGACGCGGGTTCGTGCCCCGGTCCGGGAAGATCCCACGTGCCGCAGAGCAACTAAGCCCATGCGCCACAACTACTGAGCCTGTGCTCTAGAGCCCACGCGCCACAACGACACGTGCTACAACTACTAAAGCCCACGCGCCTAGAGCCCGTGCTCTGCAACAAGAGAAGCCACTGCAATGAGAAGCCCACACACTGCAACAGCCCTCCCTCGCCACAACTAGAGAAAGCCCATGTGCAGCAACAAAGACCCAACACAGCCAAAAATAAATAAATAAATACATAAAATTAATTAAAAAAAAAAAAAGAAGGAAACAGAAGCAGAATGTCCTGAGCATCCAACCCCAACCATTTTGGGCATCGCACCTCTAAGAGCTCAAGAGGTGACCCCAGCTCTTCTGCCTGGGAGAAGCCTGACAGATACAGACAGTTAGAGAACCTACAAGATCACACCTCCAGGCCGTCACTGCGAAAGCCATGGGGAGACCTGACAGTGCCCTGGGGCCTCTAGCGAAGCGTGTGGACAAATGACCATGGAGGACTGAAACTCCTCTCCAACAATCTTCACACACATCCTCACTCACCCATGGACCAGGGAGCACGTGAAGCCTCCTGCTAAGAAATAAACCGCCCAGGATCACTGTTCCCTTGCGTCAGCGTATTCAAATTCACTGAACACCTGAAATCAAAAGTAACTTAAAGCAAATTAAAATCATGAGCTCCTAAAGTGGAAAATCTTTTTCTATCAAAATAAGTTGACTTGAAAAAAATCAGGACTCACACTTAACAAAGCAACTTGACGTGAGGGCAATGTTTCACTTGACTTTTGACAAGATGGTTTCAATGAAGAATGCAGAAATGTGGGGGCCTGGGTGCCAGCCCCAACTGTCCCAACTACAGCCACGCCACTTCAGGTGAGCTGTTGCACCCCGAAGCCCACGGTTCCCCACTGTGACTCGGGGTTTGCAGCAGAGTAACCTCAAAGTCCTACCCAGTTCTGAACATTCATGATTTTAATAAGCAAGTAAAGCAGAAAACAAATCGTTCTGCTTCTACTGGGGGTAGGTGGAAATGAAAGAATGACAGAGTGCCCCCTGCAGACACATGGACAGCATGCTGAAGTGCCTGAATCCTGCCCCCAGTCTAAACAGGAGGACAGACTGTCCTTAGAGCTGCCAGGAGGAACGTGGTGGCCCTGCTGATACCTTGGTTTCAGCAAAGTGAGACTGTGCATGACTCCTGAGCCCGAAACTGTGAGAGAATCAATTTGTGTTGTTTACATTAAGTGTGTGGTTGCTTGTCATGGCGGCCACAGAAAAGTAATACAGTTTTTTTAAAATTTATTTTATTTTATTATTTATTTTTGGCTGCGTTGGGTCTTTGTTGCTGCACGTGGGCTTTCTCTAGTTGCGGAGAGCGGGTGCAACTCTTCATTGTGGTGCACGGGCTTCTCGTTGCTGTGGCTTGTCTTTGTTACGGAGCACAGGCTCAGTAGTTGTAGCATGTAGGCTCAGCAGCTGCGGCTCACCAGCCCTAGAGCGCAGGCTCAGTAGTTGTGGCACACGGCTTAGTTGCTCCGTGGCATATGGGATCCTCCCGGACCACGGCTCTAACCCATGTCCCCTGCATTGGCAGGCGGATTCTTAACCACTGAGCCACCATGGAAGTCCTAATACAGTTTTCTGATTAAATCTGTTACCTGGAAATGGGGTGCTGCTATAACGAATACCTAAAAATGAGGAAGTAGCTCTGGAATCGAGCTGTAGGTGGAGGAGGAAAGAATCGTGAGGATCAGGAAAGAAAAGGTCTAGATTTCCTCGAACTGACTGTTGTTAGAAGCACGGACCTTAAAGGCTCTGCTGGCAAAGGCTCAGGACGAAGTGAGAACAGACTGTGAGCTGAAACATGGACATGGAAGGCACTGCTGGTGAGACCTCAGGAGGATGCCAGGACAAGGATCAGACCTGGAGGAAAGCAGCAGAGAGCCGGGCTGACTGTATCCCACAGTGAGGGGGACAGCACGCCTGTACCTGATGAGCCGGGACACCTCCAAGCAGAACTGAGGTGCACCTGTACCTTCATGCACAGGGGACAGTGCTGACCTTTGACATTCCCTTCTGCTAATGAGTATCCCAAACTGCACCTATTTTCCCTCTAATAACCTCCAAAAAGCGAGTTTTGTTCCTAACCCCCTTTTCACATGGGGTTGAGGACGCACCCCCAGCAGATGAAACGCCGAGTTGCCAGGCTCCTGGCAGAAGACAGGTGACCAGGAAGGGAAAATCAGGCAACCCCTCCCTCCCAGGCCGGTCTCCAAACCCCATCAGCCTTCTTCTATCGTGACTGACTCACGTGGTCAAGGGTACAAGAACAGAGAGCATGCAGTGCACACGTGGCACAGATCAGCACTGACCACCAGACACAACAGCAGGCGGGCACGACCTGAGAGGCCTGCGAGGGGCAAGGAGCAAGGGCCCCGAAAAGTGTGATGACAAAGACGGTGAAAACAAGAGGTGCCATGCAACGTGCTCAGGAGGGTGACCAGGCGGAACTGGACCGTCCGCTCCAGGACGAGGGAAGTGGATGGGGCACGGTGGCCGGCGCACGGCCCACTGCCAGAAGGACGAGACTGAGGGCCAGGTCTGACCCCAAGCCCACAGTCACTGCTAGCAACGCCACCTGCCAAGGACCGGAGGAGACGCCTGGACCTGGAGCCTGGAGTAGCATTTGAAACACTCTGCACAAGCTGACTGTGTCTGCCCTTCTGGGCGTTGCAGGTAAATGGAGCTACCGGTGTGACCTCTGTGAGCCACTCCGTGCACTCAACACAACGTGTCCGGCTTCATCCAAGCTGCAGCACGTGTCAGCACCTCCTGCCTTCCGCAGCTCAACACCACCAACGTTTATCCGCTCGTCTGCTAACGGACACTTGGTGGGAGGGGAGACGGGGAGTGATTATTTAATGGGAACAAGGAGTTTCATAGGATGAGGAAAAGTTTTGAAACCATAGTGGTGGTTGCCCAACACTAAACATCACTGAACTGTACACTCTGAGGTGGTTCCCTTTATTTTATGTGAATTTCACCTCCAAAAAAGTTAACGGTGATGAAAATATTCTTAACTTAGACTGTGATGACTGTTGCAAATCTCTCTGAATAAACTAAAAACCCCTGAATTGGACATTCTAAACTGGAGAATGATGGTATGTGAATTACATCTCAACAAAGATGTCAAGAATGTAAACAAAGTCAGTGACCAACTCTGCAAACCGCCCGTCCACAGGCTGGGACATGCATCACTCACTCGGTGCCCAGTCTGTCAGCGTGATGGCCACAGCCAGTGTCTGCACAGCAAGAGGGCATCTGCAAGGGCGCAGGGAAGGAATGGCTGGTCCTGTGGTTCCTTTAAAAGTGGAGTCCCAAAGAGTGGGCCACACGGCACCGCACAAACCCTTCCTTCCGCAGGGCCCCCACAAAGAAGGACGGGCCGTCCTGCATAGGGGGCTGATGTAATCCCCCTACCCCCGGCCCCTGCTCCTCAGGGGAAGCTGCCTTGTGCAAACTCACCAACGAAAATGGTGACACTGGCCAAAGAGCCCCTTTCCCTTTTCCTTGCTGAACACGATTCCATATAAAACAGATCCTTCCCATCTAGCTCGGGCTCTATGTTGTTAACTCTCCTTTTCTACACTGTCGTGTACATTTGAAAATCTTAATTTAGGAATGTGATTTAGAGCTTGTGGCAGCGTGCTTGAAGACCTGGTTGCCCCTTCCTTCGACGGGGAAAACGAGGAGTCCAGCCGGGACAGAAGGCAACTGCATACAGCTAGAAAGGTGGCCGGAACTGAGACAAAGGCCTGTGTCCACACGGCCCATCCTTGCCGGGGACCCAGCCAGCCCCCTCTTACAAGCAGAGTATAAAGAACTGGAGAAGAACTTGGAGGCCACCCAGCCCAGTGCTCCTGAAGGGGGCACCTCCCCTGGGGCAGCTGTAAACAAGGCCCAAGATTCTGTCTGGCAGGTTCAAGCCCCCCAGTTGTGCCTGATGTGCGGCCGGACACCGCTGACCTGATTCAAACCCCTCCCCAGTGAAAGAAGTCCATCAACACCCTGGCTGACCGCCAGCCAGCCCCTTTGGAAAGTTCTGCACAGGGTCAAGTTTTAGAAACAGCAGCTCAGCCCCAGGCTGTTTACTTCCTCACTGCAGGCTGAGACACATTAGCTCAAAAGACCCATCAGCGCCAAACTCCAACTTTACATATCCAATTACTTTAAAAATAGCCCAAACACAAATTTTTAGCCATTTAGAGCCTGCCTGCTTTGCATTCTCTGTGAAACCTCACCAGACAGCTATTACCCATCGATAAAACAGCCTCGCCACTCCCACCCCACTCCTGCCCTTAGAGCTCTCTGACCACCTGCCTTGACCCGGGAGCCTCTCTCATCCCCTCCCCCGTGAGATTCCCCCACACGCAAACCCGTCAGTGTCACCCACGAAGCTCACGCGGCTGCTGCCACCCCACAGTCACATCACTTTCCTTCATCAGCCCCAGCATCCCTCAAACCCGCTACGTAACACCAAAAAGGGACTGAATTTTTAATTTTGGTTCATTTTAATTAATTTAGACTTAAGTAGCTACATGTGGCCAAGTGGCTGCCACATCAGACAGCACCACCTGGGAGCCCACGAGCATTTAATGACCACCTCCACACACGGCAGGCATGCCAGGCCCCATCAAGTTCCCGCCCTCCGTGCATCCTGGTGTGAACACGGCCCACCAGGGAGTGACAAGCACACAGGGGAACAGTACAGCAGGTCGGGCAGAGGGTGGGGAGGGCTCGAAACCCATGAGCTCTGCCCAGAAACTTCAGGAGAAACCACTGAGCAGAGCCATGCAGCCGAGGAAACAAAGGACTCAACGAGCTCTCGGCACAGGCGAGAGCTGCACTCCCCTGGGCACTGAGCCTGTAACTGCTGGGTGCACAGGTCCTGGGGGTGAGGTCGGAGGGCTTCCCACCCAGGCTCTGGGCACATGGTTATTTTAGCCCAAGGTTCATTAACTCTTTGACAGGCCCATCTCACTGCCAGCTCCTGTGAGCTGGCACAGTCAGCCACAGTTCTGCCTCTCCTGCACGGCTGCCCCCACCGCACACCTGCGCTGCGTCCACTCAAATAAAGGACCCTCCATTCATCCATACCATTTTCACCGACAAAGTGCTGCACGTGCCCATCCTACTCTCCTTCCCAATCTGGGCTGACACATCCCAGAAGGTCAGCAACTTCCCTCCCAGGTGCCATCTGGGAAATCAACTTGTTTGCCCCAACCTCTACACCTGCACCCTGAAATTTCCTACAGTCTCTAAGGCAAGAGAGCAATCACAGTGACGCAAGAGGATTTGACAACTACCATCGGCTCAGCCACGACTTACAAAATCCTGTTGCGGCACCAGCCAAATGCGGCAGAGGGCATCTCTAACCACTTCTGCACACAGGACATCAGGGCCTTGAGTCGCAGACGGAAGTCCTGACCAACAGATTCAGTGAGATCAAAAAAGACCTGTGATTTTTATGGAAAACCTGTTAGGCCCAAATCCAGGGGAGACTGGAACCCAAGGTGCCAAGTATCCCTGGAACCTGAGAGTCACACACAACTCTTCTCAATGCTTCTCACTGTCCAGCGGCCAATTCTGTCCTTCATTCATTTTCATGTCACTTGTGACTCCATTCCTCTGTAACTTTACGTAAACCACATGACTCACAGAGACCTCAACGACCTCACCAGGAAAACAGAGCTAATGCCACCTTTCATGCCAAGAGTCAGGAGATTGAGCAAGGTATCGTTCAGTGTCCTGTCCACCGAAATCTATTGTCCTGCTTCTGTTAACTGAACAGTATGTCCTTCAAGGCTTCCTTTATTCTGTTCAGCATGTCTAAAGTTTACTCTATCATCATCACGTTTCTAGTTCCTTCAGATTCCTTTACTTCACCCATTATACACAACGTTTTCCCGTCTTAGGGTGAACTCTCAACTTTTAAGGTAATCCAAGATGACAATCAGATAAACTACTAGAAACCACCACAAAAGAAGTGAAAAATAGAGAAGAACTGCATGGTAAAAATAAGAAAAAACTAAAGAATTACAATATACACATACGAAAGAAGGTGGGTGACAGGAAAGAGACTGTTACAAAGATACAGAAGAAGAGCAAAGAGGGAAACACAGGAAAGCCAAGAAAATGTCTTAAATTAACACAGTGCAAAAGGCACCCAGGGAAAGACCAGCAACAGGTGAGGACTTTGGAACATTCAATTAACCCTACCATTAAGGAAGAAACCCCCAGAGAAACTGAAAAACAGTTGAATTAACTCTGCCCCCTGCCCTGGGGCCTGGAGTGCCTGGGGGAGCCCAGCTGAGAGTTGGGCCCATCAAACGAGTGCAGTCGGGCACTCTATGCCCTGCACCTCCAGACAGACCCAGGCCGGCTGCTTCCTGGTCTTCTGGGCATGAGTGTGTAGAGACTCGGTGTTGGCACAGTTTCTGGAGCACAGCACTGCCAGTCCGATCATGTGTGCTCTAAAGGCTCCTAAGTCATCACCAGATGATTTCACAACACCCACAGTCAAAAAGGTGTCCAACCTGTCCTGGTTTGCCCAGGGTCAGCACTTAGAGTCCCACGTCCCAAAGTCCAGGGCAAACCAGGATAGCTGATCACCCTACAGTGAGGACTATATACGAAACATATATCCAACCTTTCCACTGGCCCCGAGACATATTATTGAAAACTCTCCATGAATCTCCTTTCTAGAGCCCAAACGCTCCTCTCTGCCATGTCTCTCCTTCAAATGTGTTCCTCTCATTATCATCAGGGAATAAATTCGGTCTCTCTCGGCAAAAGCTGTCTCACATTCAGTATGTACCACACCCGCTGGCACGCCAAGAAATATTCCCAATACTTCTATCAACATATAAGTCAATCAGTTCCACACTTTGAGCTTGGTCTGTGTGGGGCCTCTTGGTTCTTCCTAAAAATCCAAAGTTAGGACACTCAGGGCATAAAGTAAAGAGGAGAATTTTAAGAATTTTATAGGCTTATGCTTCAGTTTTTAGTTAACAAAGCAAAGTATATTTAAATTCCGGAAGGTCCCTATGCATCTCCGTCCCTACCAGGAAAATGTGCAAGCCTGGACCCTCACAAAAACTGCCCAAAAACGCCCCTTCGGCTCCCCGTTCTTCCTGAAGGCGCGGCAAGAAGGGCAGGTGCGGAGGCCCTCTCCGCGCGCCCCGGGCTGCTCCGCAGGCGTCCCCACGGGGAAGTGCGGCAGGGCCGGGGGAACGGGGGCCCGGGAGCCGGGCAATGACCGAAGGGCCGCAGGTGCACCGCGCGGCGAGAGCCCGCTTCCTCCCGTGAAGCGAGGCCCCCGGGGACTAAACGAGGCGCTCGCCGCTGTCACCGCCTCGGGGTCACGGTCCCGCTCCGGGCCCGGCCTACCTGCCGCCCTTGGCCTCCGGGACCCGGGCATCGTCCGTGACAACCTGCGGCCGCACGGGCCGGCGCTGCCGCAGCCCATCCGCCTCGCTCATGGCGCCCGTGCGCCTGCTGCCTGAGCCCCGTTCCCCCGCCTACGGCCCGGCGCGCGGAAGTGACGAACAGGCCCCGCCTCCCTCCTCGGCCGTGCGCGGAAGTGACTTGGGCCCCGCCCCTTCCGGCCGCCGGGGCGGGAGTTGCTGCAAGGCGCTCCCCGGCTAGTCCCAGCGAGCGGGCCGTGCCGGAGGCGGCTTCCGGCGTCTGCATCGCCGCGTCCTAGCCCGCAGTCCCAGCCTTTCACGTCCGTTCTGACCTCGAGGCGAGGCCCACCAAGAGTCCCGTGGCCGTTTCCTAACCGATGGGGTTAAGGGGAAAACGCGCCGGAAAAGGGCAGCCGGCCGTGTTCGCCATTGTGTCGGTCACAGCGACGTTCGGCGGTTTGTAAGCGTGTGGACGGAGTTGTCGCCAGGAGCAGCGGACAAGCCGAGGGCCGCGCCCGCCGACTGACCCGCGCGATCTCCTCCCGGAAGAGCCCACTCTAGCCGGTCGTCGTGAGACACTTTGGGGTTTTAATGAGGAATTTTGCCGAAGGAGACCAACGGGCTCGTGAGGGCGTCCGGCAGATGACGGAGCTGAAGTTGTATGGGATTGGGGAAGACACAGGGAGGAGGTTTTCCCGGCAGAGGAAGCCGGTTCCTGTTACTCGGCAGCGTCTCCAGAAAAGGCCACTCAGAATGAAACCCTGAGAATCGATTTTCTTGCTACTAGGCAAGGCGGTCCCCAGGCCAGTGTGCCACGGCCTTTCTGGGTGCTCGAGGGCCCCGGACTCCCACCCAGCTGTCCCCAAGAAAAGCTCGGAAGACCCAGCGTGGGGGAATGAAGATTCCTTGTGTGAATCCAGGTCGGCAGGGTCCCGGATTATAGTTCAGGCCTTGGCAGCACCTTACTTCATTCCCCGCGGGATGCAGCCAGTACAGCTGCTCTGCCAGGGATGGTTTTAACAGCGCTGCATGATCGACCCCTTCCTGCCTGTCTGGAGTGTCCCTACCCTGAATCCTGTGTTTCACACACTCAGGATGCTTGCTATTTCTAATTCTGTGCCTCCCTGCCTTGGTCCTTACTGTTCCTTCACCTGCACTTGGTCAGACCGGTTTTATCACTCAGGACCCACTTCATTTGCTGAAAATCCCTCCCCTAATTTCACAAGCAGGACATCTTCCTAGTGTCTAAGGCACTTTCACTGGAGTTATTTGTGTTCCATGCCAACTGAAAACAGCCAGGAACATGGCTGTACAAGAAAATAATAAAAGGTTAGGTTTATTCAACTTGCTGCAGCAAAGGAATGCACCAGAGGACACATGAGTCTCCTCAAAACAGGGGTGTTATGGAAGGGTCCTCGAGGGGTGTGGGGCTGTAGTTGGCCGTAGATGGTCTTGGCAAGGATGGGTCAGAATTTGTAATCAGGAGAGCCACTGGAGGGGTCAGTGGTTTTGTTTTGGAGCACGTACTCTGCATGAGCTGAGTCACGTGTGTTGCACGGCATGGTTTAGTCCTGTTTTTCTGTTTGGGTGTCATGGTCAGGCCCACTTTGCTAGCTGTGGTTTCTTTCCTTCTCAGTCCCCCCACCCACCCTCCAGCATAGCTAACACCCCGTTCCTGGCAGGGGGGTGGGACCACTCTGATTGGTTAGATCAGGTCCCTCAGCCTCAGTGGTGTTGACAGTTTGGGCCAGATAATTCCTTGGAGGGAAGGGAGAGCGGGGAGCTGTCCTGTGCACTGTAGGATGTTTAGCAGCATCCCTGGCCTCCACCCACTAGATGTCAGCAGCATCCCACCTAGTCATGATAGTCAGTAATGTCTCCAGGCCTTACCAAGTGTCCCCATGGGTTAGACCAACCAGAACCCACTCCCCTCACCCTGAGCCCGTGCCAGCGGTGCTGCTTCCCAGTCACTTGTTTTTAAGTCACCTGTGCCAGGAGGACCGTCCCAGGGGTTAGACGCCATAATCAGAGTCTTGAGGCCTTCACAGTGTCGGCACCTGGACTGAAAGGCATGACATGAGGGTGAAAATAAACACGTTTGCCAGGCAGCAGTGGCAAGTGCCCCAGCTGGTCACTGTGATTCGTGTTGCCCCAGGATGCTATCACTCTTTAAAACAGGGGTTCTCAACTTTAGCTGCACATTAGAATCATCCAGGAAGCTTTGAAATATCCTGATGCCTCAGTCCCATCCCAGAAATTCCAGTGCAATCGGCCTGGGGTGTGGCTTGGGCATAAGTAGTTTTAAAGGGTCCCCAGACACTTTTTCTTTTTTTCTTTTTTTTTTGGCTGCGTTGGGTCTTAGTTGCAGCACTCAGGATCTTCATTGCGGCATGTGAGATCTTTCACTGAGGTACGCGGGCTTCTCTAGTTGTGGTGCACGGACTCCAGAGCATGCAGGCTTGCTAGTTGAGGCGCATGGGCTCTCTAGTTGAGGCGCGCGGGCTTAGTTGCCCCGCGGCATGTGGGATCTTAGTTCCCTGACCAGGCATTGGACCTTCTTCCCCTGCATTAGAAGGCGGATTCTTTACTACCAGGGAAGTCCCTCCCCAGACACTTTTGAAAGCCGAAGTCGAGCATCACTGCTTAGAGAAGAAATAAGAAGTAGAGACATATATACAGCATATATCCAGTTTGGGGGGCACAGGGGTCTGAGTCCAGTGTCCCTAAGATTGGAGACCAAGAGAATCACCCCACCACCACTTTGCCTTGGAAGCCTCAGAGACTGTCTGCAGGAAACATGAGAGAGGCAGCTCTGCGCCATGAGGGGCTGGGGGGACTCAGGCATGACCCTGAGGGCTTGGGACCGGAGGGGCTGTGACTTGTCAGGGGGAACACAGATTATGATGAGGAATGGGCTGGGTGGCTTCCCACACACAGGCGGTTTCCTATCATGACCTTGACGGGAGTTACCTGGGTGTTTGTTTATGTCAATTTGTTAAGCTGTACATTTATGCTTTGTATACCTTTCTATATATGTTTGTTATATTTCATCCTCAAAAATGTCTGAAAGCAAGCTGTTGCCTAGTTTGAAAGCTGTCTTTGTCCGGATCACTTTCTTAAATTGAAATGGAAATGCATTTAGTGTTGGGCTTGATCAGTGATCCCCGAAACTGGACCAGGGCCTTGCCAGCTGTGCAAAACACCTGGGAATTGTTGAAAGCCCAGATTCCCAGACCCCAGCCTCCCAAAGACACCACATCCTGACACCATCACCTTGAAGGATAGGATTTCAACATGTGAATAGGAGGGGAGGGTGGCAAACATTCAGGCCATTGCAGGGGTCGAGCATTCCTTTTGATCCCATGGTGCAAAGATGGGCATGGATGTCCATTTCAGTCTTGTTTCTAATGTAGACAAATTGGAATCACCTCAGGTGTCCATTAATAATGGTTAAATAAATGCTCACATTCAGTGGTTTGCCATATGCAATCAATACAAGGAATAAGATGGGGAGATACCTGCATTATATTGGGAGGGAACAAACAAGTACAAAGTAATATGTAAAGGGCCTCAGTAACTTATGGGGAATGCTTGGGTGAAGTGGACGTTGGAATTGAGAAGCTTCCACATTTAAGGAACATTATGCAGGACTTTCTGTTCGTGTGATGGCAGATTAGGTAACTGAGACTCACGCTGGCAGTGAGGACAATGATGAACGAAATACTTGAAACATCTGCGTGAAGACACTGGCAAGCCCAGCATGGTGATCAGGTAACAGAAAGGACAGAGAGAGGCCCAGGAAGATGAGCCCAGGGTCGGGGGGAGCCACTTTTTCCCCCGAGTGCATTCGCAGGTCCAGAGGAGGAAGTTGAGAGGCCAGCCAGTCCCGAGACACGTGTATAGGATTCCTCGTGAGTCCTGCCAGGTCAGCAGCGGTTGCCATGGTGTTAGTTACCCTCCTTCCCTGTTTCACACCCATCCCTCAAACTTGTTCCTGGAATCACATTCCGAAGTAAGAACAGGGAAGGCTGCATACAAGCCTTCATCTCAGGCTCTGCTTTCAGGGCAGTCGAGACCAAGGCAGGAAGAGAGACTAGAACGTGAGAAGTTCCAACATATGGGATGTCTGCGTCCTCAGAAAAGAAGTGAGAATGACAAAAACTATATTTAAAGATATAATGAATGATGGAGATATTTCCAAAATTGATTCAGGTGGACATCAAGCCACAGACCCAAGAAGCCCTATGGAGCCCAGGCAGGATAAATAAAAACAAGTCAGTGAAAAATAATACTGTGGAACCAAAGACAAATGGTTTTCACAGACCAGAAAGGATCTGTTTGCTTGGTTTCACCCTTGTTACACAGCAGAAATTCCCAATGATGAAGGAAAAGCCTCTAACTCAGATTGGAGGTCACCACCTTGCCTCCTACCCCCCCAGAGTCACTGCCTCTGGGAAGGCTTTCTCTGGGCCTGCACCTGGGTGCTGCTGTCCCCGGCCCAGATACCAATACAGAGGCCAACAGTAAGATGCCTTAAAAATTATAAATAAAATTAAATGTAGATGTTCCCCTAAGCTCTCCCAGGAGGGGATCTGAGCATGGGGGTCAAAGATGGAGTCAGCTCCATCCAAACCCAGCTCTGCCACCTTCCCGCCTCCTCTACCAAGTGGGGACAAGTGTCTGCTCGGGAGGCGCCATGGGGATGAAGTGGGCTGAGGAGTGGGGCACCTGGCAGGGCCTCCTTGCCCACCGTGCTCAGCAGCAGAAGCATTTCTGTTCCGACGTTGGGTGTTGTGAGGGCTGGACGTGGGGGCAGGTCAGTCTGCGAGGGCTCGAGTTAATTTCACTCGAGTCAGGCCGAGGCAGTGGGGTGAGAATTCACACCACCTTTCCTGCGCTACAAGTTCAGCAGCTGTGGGTGAGCCGGGACAGGCATTTGCCTGAATCACCTCAAGATTTACCCTTCGATAAATGTGCGGTCACGTCACGACGGTCTCTGAGTTCTGCCTGGTCCCTTCGCTGCTTCCACACCATCCGACATCCGTCTCTGCTCTGCATTCTGCATCTTGGCCACTCCGAGTTGGGTCTTTGTCAGGACATTTCAGCCTTGACAGAA